AAAAGCAAGTAGTTTCTAGCTACTAGTGAGCACTATGGGAAAATGTGTGTAGTATGCTGTCTTTTTCTTCTCCTAAGCTGGTGGGGTGGGGTGTTTGAAGAGTTTGCTAGAGTTCCACTTTCTGATATGGTAGCCGTAGGAAGAAAGTGACCACTCTACACATTTTCAAGAGCCTTTCATTACCCAGCCTTCCCTCTCCTTGTCATGACCTATCATTACAGTGGTACCTCGGGTTAAGTACTTAATTCGTTCTGAATGTCCGTTCTTAACCTGAAACTGTTCTTAACCTGAAGCACCACTTTAGCTAATGGGGCCTCCTGCTGCTGCTGCACCGCCGGAGCACGATTTCTGTTCTCTCTTTTTTTAAAAAAAATAATTTTTATTAACAGGCCAATCACATCACATTATCATATCACATTAGTTCCAAATTATACAGCCAAATTTTAAATTTTATTGGGGGTGCCCATACATCAAACTCCGCTTGAGTCCAAAACAGCATCACTTTCTTACTGCTTTCATTAGACAGTTCTGTCCAGTTTTATCCGGATAGTCCTTTATTACTTCCTTTCTCTTCTTGTTGTTATCATAAATTCCTTTCTTTGCGATCTCTGATGATTTTCACAAGCAGGTTGTAAGAGCACGATTTCTGTTCTCATCCTGAAGCAAAGTTCTTAACCCGAGGTACTCTTTCTGGGTTAGCGGAGTCTGTAACCTGAAGCGTATGTAACCTAAAGTGTATGTAACCCGAGGTACCACTGTACAGAGTTGCAAGTTGAGATGCAAAGAGTGGGTGGGGCAGGGGAGAATATTTAAAATGCAGCAATAAGACAGCTCTGAATGTAATGGAATATTGTGCTTGAAGAGCAAGCATTTTATATTGCAATAAATAAATAAAATAATATATTTATGAAAGGCAATAAATAAATATTTTTTTTAAATGCGCTCTTTTTGCAGAAAGACAACTTTGTGACATCAGTTGCAAATGGGTTTTGCGCCCACTTAAAATTTTCTGTTTCTTCGACAAAAAGTAGTGGACAAATTTTGACTGAGCAAACTTCAAATCGTCCTTAGCTAAACTCTTTACTAACCCTGCCAGCAGATCCAGTCAAGGTTTGAAAAACAGTGCTAGTACAAGGAGTTATACTGAGTGACTGTTACAGCTCACCTCTCAATGCGCAGCAATGCGTGAGTCTAGCCCTTCATTTCCCTGCAAAAGAAAATGCACAATGGCATTTACCAATAAATGCTTACCTTCCATTGAGTGTTATTTAGAGAGATAAATCTACAGGGTGGGATTCACCTATCAAATCCCATCAGCAAAAACCCTGTGCAAGGACATAAGCTTGTGCAATGCTGCTTTCCCTGCCCTCCTCCCCCCATGTGCCCCCAAAACAGCAGGAGGGGGTTGGGAGAACCCCCAGAACAGTGGGGGGGGGCTGGTGGAGAGGGGGGTCATTCTGTCTGGCAAGCTGCAATGCCTGCACAAACAACATTCGTCATAACATGAATTCTGCTCACAGTTTCTACCTCCTTTTCATTTTATTACTCATTCTATGATATTTAATTTATTTTTCCTATCCTCCTGTTTTACAAATAGAGTTCAGAGCAAAAATTAGACCTGGTGTTGTTTGTAGAAGAGATAGTTGGGGATGCAAGATTCTGTTTTTCCAGGCCACAGTGGTGAAAGGAGCATTAATTCCTAGAAAATAGTAGAGTTCAACCAAGGTTAATTTCCCACAGTCCATGAATCATCCCTCTGCTTTGTTCATTATTTGCAGTCGCTCACATCTTACCCTTTCGGCAAGATTCAATTCCCCACCCCATTCGTGCAGAAAGAAGTATAATAATAGTGGCACTACGTCTCTGCCTAACCAATTCCGAGGCCCTCTAATTGGTGGGGAGAGCAGCTGGCGCTGGGCCTAAGCAACATCCTGGTCCATTTTCAGCAGCCTCTGCCCCTTTTGTCTTGCTGACGGAGTGGAGTGGGATGAAGCTACAGCACTGGAGAACAGGCACCTGCAGCAGATGCGCAAAGCAGGAGCTGCTCAGGAGTGGGCAGTCGGGGAGTGTGGTAGCTTTGCTGCTGTCCTATATTCATTGCCATGGAGTCAGCTGTATTTGTTACTGATTTATTTATTAATAAAATTCCAGTCCCTGCATGATGCAGCTGTAGAATGGCAGATTGCCTACAACCCTGATCAGAGCCAAGTCATTGGCTTGAAGCCCTGCAAAAGCTGGCCGCCAGGTGCCAGTGGCATAGAGCATCTGTCGATAAATTCATGGAGACTGATAGAAATAGTTTTGAATCAGGGGAACTTGGGTTATAAAGCTGGCAGTAGTGGGTGAGGACTAAATGAAGTGGGTGAGGACTAAAGCAGTCAGTGCATCTGCTCCACCACCCACCAAATGCTCGTGTTCCAGAATATGGGTGTGTGATCTGGATGTTGGTAATAATAATAATAATAATAATAATAATAATAATAATAATAATAATAATTTATTTATACCCCGCCCATCTGGCTGGGTTCCCCAGCCACTCTGGGTGACTTCCAACAAAACACTAAAATATAATAACCTATTAAACATTAAAAGCTTCCCTAAACAGGGCTGCCTTTAGATGTCTTCTAAAAGTTTGGTAGTTATTTTTCTCTTTGACATCTGATGGGAGGGCGTTCCACAGGGCGGGTGCCACCACCGAGAAGGCCCTCTGCCTCGTTCCCTATAACTTGGTTTCTCGCAGCGAGGGAACCTCCAGAAGGCCCTCGGCGCTGGACCTCAGTGTCCGGGCAGAACGATGGGGGTGGAGACGCTCCTTCAGGTATACTGGACTGAGGCCGTCTAGGGCTTTAAAGGTCAGCACCAACACTTTGAACACTTTGATTCTTCGTATAGATTTTTTATTTTTTTGCATTCTATTAAACTCTTTAACTAGTGGCAGGTTGTTATTACAGTGTGTATTTTTGTCTTTATATTGTAAACCGCCTTGATATCTTCAGATGAAGAATAATTAAAAAACAGACACGAAGAACCGTTTGTTGATACTCATTTCCATGGTGCTGCATAGTTGCTTTGGTTTCAACAGGAAATGAAACTTTTTTTAAGTTTCCCCCTGTGACTCTCAGGACTTTCTTCTGTCGAACTGCTTGCAATGCGAGATCTGGAGACCGAATAACATTAAAACTGCACCATGGGTGTTTTCCTCATTCTGAAATAAATATTATTCTGGCTTCACAAGCTGATTGGTGCCTTGCAGTTGCTGGACCTAGAAGCTGGCTGACCTCTTTGTGGTAAATGTCACTGTTGCTCACTCACCCTTGGGACTTCAGATTCCATTGCCTTTTTTAAACCCCTGCTGAGGAGTCCTGTTTACTCTGCTCACTGTGGAGAATGGCTTCAGAGACATGCATATTGTTGAGCGACTCTACGTTATCAAAAGTAGTTTGGTTTTATTATGTAGTACAAATTGCAGTTAAGATCATTCCGTGCTGTCAGCCAGCCAGCCAGCTCCAAGTTCTGGCTGAAGCACGAAAGCAATAACTAGCAAAGGTTGCTGTGATTACATATCCACTTCAGAGAGTCTGGCAGAACAAATCTTTGCATATGTACAAGGCTCCCACAAATCACCTTGGAATTTCCCCCTAACCTCAGAACAGGTTTTGTCTTGTTCTTAGCATTTACTGAATATGACTGGAATGAATTGCTGGTGCTTCATACGTGTGCCCTGGGGACACCTGAATGGGAAATAGACATTGAAAAGGTGGGGGGAACTGGAATCGGTTAAATGAAGAAATATTATTATTATTATTATTATTATTATTATTATTTATTATTTCACACATTTTCTCCAAAGAGCTCAAGTTGGCATACACACTTTCCCTCCTCTTCTTTTTATTTCACAACAACCCTGTAAGGTAAATTAAGCTGTAGGACAGTAACTGGCTGAAAGTCACCCAATGGGCTTCATTCTCAAGTGGAGATTGAATCATTGTCTCCCAGGTCTAAGTCTACTCCAGCACTCTAATCACTACTCTACACTGGTTCTCCTTCAGTTTTTCTTCTTCTTCTTCTCAAGTAAACTTGAATATATTTTTATGGGGCATAACACACCTACACACTATAGCTGACATACTAACCTGTCGCGACACACAGTTTGGAAAGCTCTGAACTAGATCGTCATCCTGCACATAACACAGGCTAGGTTGGCAATCTTCTCAGTGGCGTCTGGAGATGCCAGGCATTTGGACCATGTAGTAATTATTGGGGGCGGGTTGCTACAGATACTATCGCTGCTGCTTATTGTATTTTATTTGATTCTCTGTTTTTAATGATATTTTATTGACAAGTGGCTGTTTTGTTGCCTTGTGTTCCATACTGACTAACTGGGCAGCGTACCTAATTATGCTACATGTTCTCTGGCTTGAAAATGTTTCTTGGCACAATTTACATAAGTCTATCTGCTTTGTTTTGTTTTGAAGGGAGTCGATCCTGCATGCTAAGATCTGTATGATCTGTTAATGCCCTTGACCCCTTATATCCTAGTGTTCGGACTTTGCAGTCAGCCATGAGGTTTATTAAGATGCTATCTACTGACATCAGCTTGGTTTGGGGTACTTGGGCCACATTTACTCACCTCCCTAGAGGGGTAAAGACATAATCAGATGAAGAACAGTTAGGGTTGATTCACCCAAACCTCTCCCTGTCCACAGCAACAGAGATTCTGGGCTCGCACACGCACACACACACACACCCTGGGCTCATGTTGGTGTGTAACCATGTCAGGTTGTGTCAAGGCAGCAGGGCACGTGCTCTGTACTTGGCCTGGCTTTGGTGTGCTACTGCAGATTCTGACGTAACAATTGTGGCTTTTATGTGCTGAAAAGGCTGTGAGACTTAGTCCTCAGATATAACCCAAACATACACGATTTCACGCAGCATAAATGCCGTCCAGTTCTGAGTTTTGTGTTTGTAAAACATAACCCTATTGTGTGTTTCATTTGCAGAATCCGAAAACGAAAGAGCAAATTGAAAACTTGCTACGAAATGGGAAGAATAAGGAGCTGCGGGACCGTCTATGCCATCGGCTTACCTTTGGAACTGCCGGGCTCCGCTCTGCTATGGGGGCCGGCTTTTGCTACATCAATGATCTTACTGTGATCCAGTCAACACAGGTGAGTTCCAGGCAACATGGTGCAGGCAGGAAATCTATGTGCTACTGTCTGTCCCTCTTCTTCTCCAAGTAACTTGCAAATACAAATATTTGTGTTTTACAAACACAAACATTTCACTTTCCAGTCCTGAGCCCTTCTGGTGTGCGGTAGTTGCCCCATAGAGTATGGGCGCCGTGGAGTCAATTAGTAGAGGAAATCAAAAATTACTGTTATTTATTGTCACCTGTGTGCACAAGAGGGCAGATCCCTGCCCCGAGGAGCTTGCAATCTAATACAGCACAACAGAAACAACAGTGCAGGGAGTGGAGGCACGTGGAGCCCCGTGTACAGCTGTTTCAGTGGCACTGGCACATGCCAAGGTATAGTTGCAGAAGGAGTTACAGTAGGGCAAGGAAATAGCAGGTTATAACGAAACCTTCATGGTAAAGGTGGGCCTTGAGGGATAGCAAGGAAGAGAGATGGCATCATATTGGTGTTCTGGGAAGGAGTTCTGAGCAAACAGGGTAGCAAGGGAGAAAGGGCAGAGTCTTTGAGGGAGCAGACCTCTGGACAATGGAGGGTGAACAAAAGCTTTGTCTAATTGAGTCTGCACAGGGAATTCAGGGGAACAAATTTGTCTGTCTGTTAAGAGCAGTTAGGTAAGGCCAGTCTCTAGCTCTCAACTTAATCTACCTCACAGGGTTATTGTGCAGTTAAAAAGACCGGGTGGAGCAATCAAATGCCTCCCTGAACTGCCGCCTTACGGTTTTAAAAATTTTTTATTCATTACATTTTAAAAAATCTTCAGTGTCTGTGGTTGAATGTGCTTCAGGTTGAGCATTTTTGGGTTGCACTCCGCGGCAACCCGGAAGTAACAGAGCGCGTTACTTCTGGGTTTCGCCGCTCACGCATGCGCAGACGCTCAAAATGACGTCACACGCATGCGCAGAAGCAGTGAAAAACGACATGCGCAGACGTGCTGTCGCATCTTACGTTCCATTCAGGATGCGAACGGGGCTCCAAATCCCGTTCGCATCCTGAGGTATCACTGTATATTCAGAGGAAACAAATTGCTGCCTCCCTAAGCACTAACCCAGTTGTGCAAAGCTGTGCCCAAGGAGCTGAACAACACATCAGTGTGGCTCCTCTTTTGGGGGTTTATGTTGGCTTTGCTGAAATTTCAGGAGCTCCAAAAGAGAGCTGTTTCACACCAAAGTCAACTACCTTGCTATATAAATTTGAGCTTCCCGTGTGCATATGGTCAATGTAATTCCCTTTCTTGAACATGAGCGGCTGACAAGCTGAAAGCCTTCAACTATAAATGATTACCGAATTAATATGTGCATATGAGGAGTACCAAAGCACTTTTACTACAGGGCAGGCTTTAAGGAACTAAACGTGCTCATGGGCCTTGCTCAACTGCTGAGGAAGCAAACACAGCTTTGTACTTTCTGACCTCTCTGTTTTGTTCACTTTGAAAGTGTTCATGCTGTGACAGCCTGAAGAGCACGTGCCGGCTTTGTGTTTTGGTCTGCTGGAAGCACGAGGAACTTTGGATTGGCTGCTAAGTAATAATAAGCATTCTTGGCAGAAGACTTCAGTTCAGATACCAGGAAGTCTCTGCGAACACTGTTGTGCTAGCTTTGCAGGTTATCTCCCTTACTGGTGGTTATTTTCTTCGGTAATGATTTCTTGTTGCATAAGACAGCATTCTTTGACAAGTGGGTTAAGGCAGGTTCCCCTGAACTTCAGGAGTTCTTGAAAATCCTTGTTTGTCTTCTTCAAGCCCTTTGTTTCAGGTTTATATTTGCATTTTGGTGAAGGCTAAGACTGGGAAATCATTTTGGGAGGCTGCCAGCTACATTGCAGGTTTTGACTAAACTTTTGCATTTTGCATTGACTAGAAAATAAATAAGTACAGGGCTGGTCCAGCTTTGCCATGCCAAATACAGTGGTACCTAGGGTTACATACGCTTCAGGTTACATACGCTTCAGGTTACAGACTCCGCTAAACCAGAAATAGTACCTCGGGTTAAGAACTTTGCTTCAGGATGAGAACAGAAATCGTGCTCTGATAGCACAGCAGCAGCAGCAGGCCCCGTTAGCTAAAGTGGTGCTTCAGGTTAAGAACAGTTTCAGGTTAAGAACGGACCTCTGGAACGAATTACCATATTTTTCACTCTATGGGACGCACTTTTCCCCCCTCCAAAAATTAAGGGGAAATGTGTGTGCGTCCTATGGAACGAATGCAGGCTCCTTGGCTTCAGCGATAGCAACGCGAAGCCTCCGAAGCGCAGAGGGAGCGCTCCCTCCGCCTCCGGAGGCTATGCGTTGCTTTCGCTGAAGCCTGGAGAGCAAGAGGGGTCGGTGCGCACCCTTCCCTCTTGCTCTCCGGGCTTCAGGGATAACCGCCTGAAGCCTTCGGAGCACAGCACGCGTTCCCGCTGTGTTCCGGAGGCTTCAGGTTCCTTTTGCTGAAGCCAGGAGAGTCTTGCTCTCCCGGCTTCAGCAGAGAGGGAGAGCTGCGCAGCACCCCTTCAGCGAAGCGGGAGGAGAAATGGAAGGGGCTCCGTTTCTCCTGCCGCTTCGCTGAAGGGGCGCTGAGCAGAGAGGGGGAGAATTTTTTTTTCTTGTTCTCCCCCTCTAAAACAAGGTGCGTCCTATGGTCCGGTGCGTCCTATAGAGCGAAAAATACGGTAAGTACTTAACCCGAGGTACCACTGTACAGGTATACCTTAGATAATTGAATATAACTATTTGATATAAGTTGTTTATTTTAAAGTTATGTTTTTATTATTACTTTTTTGTATTGGATCAGAGTGTTATAAAACCATCTTTGTTGTCTATTTTGTTGTTTCTTCAGCTTGTAAACCAACTTGTGTATAGTAATGTAGAATGTAGTAATGTAGAAAGGCGGTATACAAATTAAAAGTGAAATGAAATGAAATATTTAGATTGGGAAGATTATTCCCCTTAGGACAGACTGGTTAATGGCCTTGGGTTGCATATGCCCTCCTGTATCGTATCCTGGCTGGCTTGCTAATACCATTTGGAACTATTTGCTAATCAAGCACTTACTGTGGTGCAGCTGCTCTCCTCTTTTGGCACACACCCGCCTGGGTTGCATCTGGCAGGCTGGCATGGGAATGGGGAGTTGGCCACCTTTGGCACCTTACAGCTCAGATTCTGGAGCTCCCTGTTCTTACGCTTTTGTGGGGGAAAGAGGCAGTATGAAACTATGTCCACCGTTCTCCTTGCATGAATTTGCAGACCCCCAAGCCCTTCATGGTGTCCCAGCTAAATCTCTATCAAAGTCAGCATGATGGGGGAAAGGCTTTGCAGTGCAGTCATACTGAGCCTCAGATAAGCATGCTAACTAGCTGGTCAGCAATCTCATGACTGAGATTTCTGCTGGCCGTGGCTGAAGTGCCAGGAGCTTAATCAGCATTCAGGTTTTGAGCCTCTCTCTATGTTGGCTTTGTGCTGAATCAAGAGAAGAGGTGTCCTATGTGGTACACAATCTGAGCCACAACCATGCTGGATTTGCGGGAAGCTGAAGAAAAAGGGCTTTTCAATATGAGCAGCTCCATTATTTCAACCATTCTGAAAGTGAAATTGGTACTAAAAGTTCTCCCAGACCAAGTAAAATTACAAATTGTGGCATTGCATTTGGAAAGGGTGAGGTGTTGCTTGCTTCCCTGTGGAACCATCTTCTTAATCAGAGACCTCGAGTGCAGACTGCTACAAAACATGCTGGGGCTGGCATCAGTTGCATTTTGCACTAAGCATAATTTCTGATGCCAAGTCCTAGGGACTCCTTGGAGAGTCCATGGCAGAGGTCTAGTTTGGATGTTCATACCACAGCTGAATAAACTGGATGAGCATGATCCGTTTGCCCATGCATGTCATCCTCATGCAAAAAATCAGTGTATTTTTGTATGGTAGTGTTTTTAATGTCAGTTTGTACACTGCTTAGAAATACTTTTAAATAAATAAATGACCGCACCAATTCTCACTGTGCTATACTAAACCAGGAAGTCTTCAGTTAACCATAGTTTCCTGTTAATGTCTAAACAGGGCCACCATGGTTACCAAGTTTGGGAAAAGACAGGTTCTTAAAACACGGGTTGGAGATGGCTCACTATCCTGGCCTATTCCAAGCCTGGCAACCATATTTTAAATATTTTCCCTGAGTGGGAAAGGGTCTATGAGTATAGGCACAATATTTGTTCATATTAGCTAATTAAACTGAGCTATGGTGGTTTGAATTGGGCCACAGTGTTCTACAACTGCAGATGCCATGTTTGCTGGAGACTGTATGAATAAGTAATAGCCATTCTTATGTGAAGAATAATTTGCTTTACTGTTGGGTAAATACAGTGGTACCTCGGGTTAAGAACTTAATTTGTTCTGGAGGTCCGTTCTTAACCTGAAACTGTTCTTAATCTGAGGTACCACTTTAGCTAATGGGGCCTCCCTCTGCCACCGCTGCGCAATTTCCTTTCTCATCCTGAAGCAAAGTTCTTAACACAAGGTACTATTTCTGGGTTAGTGGAGTCTGTAACCTGAAGTGTCTGTAACACGAGGTACCACTGTACCATTCATTGTGAAGGTTTGCTGACAGGGGTGGGGAACCTCCAGCCTGTGGGCCAGTCTTGACCTGCTGCCAAGGTTGTCCCATAAGGTTATTTTCCCCAAACCACACCCTCCTGACCATCCGTTTACATCACTGGGTGATGTCAGCTGATGTGTGGAGTTCAGTCCTGCTTGGCTGCTGCTTTGCTAGTGAAGCAGACCCTTTCCCCGTGGGTCGCCTTTAGAGAACCCCCATGGTACCACCCATCTTTCAGTCGCCTGGCATAATTGCGACATCAGATGATTGATAGGTGGATGGCCTTACCCACCTGTCAGAGTTGGCCCATGGATTGGGGGAAGCTAAAGATTTGGCTCTCTGGGCCAGAAAGATTCCTCATACCTGGCTTACTATGGAGGGAACCTTTTCATTGAATAGCACTGGAGACAGTTGGTAAGGGTGAATTAAAGTCAAATTTATGGATTTCCTTTTGTTTCTCTTGCCTTGCTGATGGCAGTCATCAGTGCCCGATTTGAGACTATGGTTGGCCAAGGTTCAGATGTTCCACCTGCTCCCCAACTAGGAGGCTTTGGGTAATTAACTTGGTGTAGCCAACGTGGCAGGACTGATGTGAAGTTACAAATGAGAAAACATTGTACTATAGCTTCTCCTGAGATTGCTCAATAAAGAAGGAAACAACTCTAATTGATAATATAATTTGTCCACCATGACAAATTCAGATTACATAATTGGGACAGAGAATTCTTTATTACAACTTCCCTGTGCCAGTGGAATAGGGAAGGTCTGAAAACCTAATCAAATAGGAGGCTTTATGCATGGGACTTCTCTGTTTACTTTGCTGCAGGGGATGTACAAATACCTTGAGAAATCGTTTCCAGACTTCAAGCAACGTGGTTTTGTTGTTGGATATGACACGCGAGGCCAGATAACCAGCAGTTGCAGCAGCTTAAGGTATGGGCTTTGTTGGGAGTAGAAACAAGATTGCCATGGAATGACTAAGTCCCCTTTGCACTAAGCAGAAATCAAACTTTTAAAATTTGAAGATAAGAAGAAACATGGACGATATATCAGTTCTTTTTGAATGTGAACTTTTGTATCTGAAAGCGTCACGAAGGCGTAGCCTCCGTTCTGCCACATTACAGATCTCATTTCAGTCATAAGGGGCAGTTTGGTGGATGAAGTCAGGCACAGAGTAACTCAAGCCATGGATTTGATACTTAGGCGTTACACCTGTTGCACAGGCCTGGCTCTTTTCATTAAATGCATAATTTGTGTCAGGTCCTACAGATAAGGCCTAGGTTCAGGCAGATTTGCAGAACCTCTGCCCAAGCCTTTCTGATGCTTAAAAAACTTCTCTCAAAAGCCACTGAACTATTTAAGAGGACAGTTCAAGAGAGACCTTCTGGCAGTGTGTGTGTATTATTGTATTTCCTTTGAGTTTCAGTAGTTTAGAATTAGAGAGCAGATATGTCCCATGTTTGGCACATTACAGACATCAAATTGTGCCCCCTGGAGGGAGAGAACCATAGTAGATTTAGAGTGCAGACAAACAGTATAAGGAACATAGTCAGCCTAGCTTCCTTCTCGCCTTGCAACTCAAATGACAGGTGTTTGTACCAGTGAACTGAATGCTGACTCAGCTCTCTGTCTCAAGCATAACACAAGAGGAGCCCTTCTGGATTGGACCAAAAGCCTAGTTGCTTCAGCATCCTGTTTCCCACATTGCCCAGCAAGAAGCCCTCAAGTAGCACATGAACACCATAGCCCTCCTGCTGTTCGTTCCCCAGTGCCACATCCAGAGGCATATGCTGCCTGCCTCTGATCCTGGAGGTGGGATATTGCTGCCATGACCAGCAGCTGCTGATAGCCTTTTCTGTCATGAATTCAACTAATCCCCTCTTAAAGCTGTCCAAGTTGATTGTCATCAAGTGGGACTTCCCTGCATTCTGTCCTGAACTGACCCCCACTATTTATCTACATTAGATGATCCCAAATTATAGTCTTATTAGATGAGGGGGAGAAAATCCTCCCTATCCACTTTCTCTGCACCAGGCACAATTTTATATTTCTCTGTCATATTTCCCCTTACGCACCTTAAGAAGCCCCCAACAGTGCGCTCTTTCCTTGTGTGAGAGTAGCTCCAGACTCCAGATTATTTTGATTGCCTGTCTCTGCATGTTTTCCAGCTCTACAATATCCTTTTTTTGAGATGTGGCAACTAGAACTGTGCATAGTATTCCAGGTGTGGCAATACTATAAAGGACCCCTGACCATTAGGTCCAGTCGTGGCCGACTCTGGCGTCGCTATATTGGCCGAGGGAGCCGGCATACAGCTTCCGGGTCATGTGGCCAGCATGACTAAGCCACTTCTGGCGAACCAGAGCAACGCACGGAAACGCAGTTTACCTTCCCGCCAGAAGGTATTTATCTACTTGCACTTTGACGTGCTTTCAAACTGCTAGGTTGGCAGGAGCAGGGACCGAGCAACGGGAGCTCACCCCATCGCGGGGATTCGAACCGCCAACCTTCTGATCGGCAAGTCCTAGGCTCTGTGGTTTCACCCACAGCACCACCTGTGTCCCTTAGATACTGTAGATACTTAGATACTATAGATCAATACTATAGATGCCTACAGTGGCGTAGCGTGGGGGGTGCAGGGGGGGCCTGCCGCACCGGGCGCAACATCTGGGGTTAGGGCAAATCCACAGGTTAGGGGGCGCAAATCCACAGGTTAGGGGGCGCAAATCCAGGGGTTAGGGGGCGCAAATTACTTGCCTTGCCCCGGGTGCTGACAACCCACGCTACGCCACTGGATGCCTATAAAAGCATAGTGATATTTGCAGTTTATTGTTGATCCCTTTCGTAATGATTCTTAACAGGGAAGCTACCCTTTGCACAGCTGCCCTACATTGGGTCAGGTGACATTACCCATTTATTTCTCCATTTGCCACTTTCTTCTTCTTCTTTTTAAAAAGGAAATGGGAATTTGTCTTGTCTTAGGATTTTGGGGAGAGTGCAATGGGCAGGAGAGTGGCATTATCATTCTTTGTCTTCCACAGACTTGCAAAGCTCACAGCAGCAGTCCTGCTTGCTAAGGGTGTACCTGTCTACCTGTTCTCAAGATATGTTCCCACTCCTTTTGTGGTAAGTCCATCCTTATATTATTATTGGGAACATGGCCATCAGGTCCTAAACTGGATCCACATCTCTAGTGCGAAACCTTATTGAATGTTGTGGCACAGCAGTCCCTGGGGTAAGAAATGAATGTTTGGATTGATCACAGTTAGTTTGTTTGCTGTAAGGGCTAGTATTTACATACGGTAATGGAGCAGTGGTGTGCTTGATACTTAAAGTAGAAATTATAATTCTGAATAATGTCAGGCCTTGGCTTGATGAAATTACCGGTACATATCCTCTGGTGATCCTTTGCTAGAGTCGGAATAGGTGGCTTGAACCCCTGTTTCAAAACCATTTGAAATCTGTTGCAACATCGACATGTATATGTCAGATGCTTGGGGGGGTTATTTTTTGTTTTGTTTTTGTTTTCACTATTTATTTTGTGCTTTTACCCTGTATTTTTATCTTGCCAACCACCCTGAGATCTTTGGATGAAGGGTGGTATATAAATTTGATCAATCAAATAATTAAATGAGGGGGGTGAATATGTGTTACTTGAAGTCTCTTGGAGCTGCAATTCTTTCTCATACCAGAAATTGCACAAATAACATTGCAGAAGGTCTGCCCATTGAACATATCTCGACTTATGGCAGAGGTGCTCCTCAAATGTATGGATTACCATTATTACCATTTGTAGCACTTGCTTTCCAGAGTCGTGAAAGGTCAAAATCCTGGGCCCCAACCCATCTCAGCATGCACAGTAGATGTTTGAACTCTTCCCTTGGGTATGGCGTGGCTTGTGCTTAGAAACAAGACCCGAAGCCTTTGCTTTCATGTGCCTGGGGCTTTCTGGACTGCAGCCTTGGGTGCAATACAGAGAGAGCTGAACATGTTTTCAGGCCTTTTGATATCATTGGAATGTGCGTGTCTTCCGGGACACAATACCATCTTGGGCTCAGTTAGGCATATTGATTTTCCTGTATCTTTGGCACTAACAGCTTGTGAACAGCTCTGAGCACTTACAATAACTTGCTTGTTTAGAGGATGTGACTTGGGAAATATCTAGGGATTCTTCTTTTGTTTAATAGCATTGTTAAGCCAAAAACACTGCTTAACTCAAAGGTCCTACTGAATGGCAGTTGTCATTCAAGGGTCCACATATTCTTCTTGCATCAGTTGTCCAGGCGCTTGGAATATCCTGAGTTCCTATCTTGGGCTGTTTCGGAAATTCTGGCATGCTGGAGAGTGAATGTGATTTTTGTCTTGCAGCCCTACGCAGTTCAGCAGCTCAGAGCTGTAGCTGGGGTGATGATTACTGCTTCCCATAACCGTAAGGAAGACAATGGCTACAAGGTACGTCGGAGAACTCTCTAGATGCCTGCTAGCTTTTAAAAATCCTTTAAATCAAGAGTCTAAGAAAAGATCTGTGTTAGATACTGGAATTGTTTGGGGAAAGGTCATAACTCAACGGTAGAGCAGATGGTTCTAGGTTCAATCCCCAGCGGCATATTTAGATAGGGCTGGAAAAAACTCCTGTATGAAACCCTCAAGAGTCACTGCCAGTCAGTGTAGACAGTACTGAGCTAAATGGATTCAATGGTGTATGTGTGTATGTGTGTGTGTGTGTGAATGAATTTAAACAAAACATATTACCGTATTTTTTGCACCATAACACTCACTTTTTTCCTCCTAGAAAGTAAGGGGAAATGTCTGTGCATGTTATGGAGCGAATGCCTATGGGTGGCGGGGGGGATCTGCTGCAGTCGTGAGCAGAGGATCCATGGTTCCCCTTCCTTCCCTCCTCCGTGGCTCACTTTGAAACAGCAAAGCGGGAGAAGAGCCGCTGAGTGGGGAGGAGAGAGGGACAGAGAGCCTGCTTGCTTTAAAGGAGCAAAGCGGGAGAGGAGAGGAGCCGCTTACACGAGTGTAAGCGGCTCCTGTCCGGTTGGCTCCTTTAAAGCAAGCAGGCTCCTTATAGCAAGCCCCACTCAGCTCGCTAAATAGCAGCAAAGTTTTTCAGTTCGCTAAGCCGGGGATGAGCGGCTTATACCCCTCTTCTGCATTATTAGCAGCATCCTTCTCCACCCACCCCACGCATGCTCCTTGTCCCTTGAGTGCTTTTCATTCCCTCCCCACTTAAAACGTGGTTACAAAGCACGGATTCACATGGATCCTCAGGATTTTTGCACTGGGTCACCCCAAATTCACCATCAGATCACATAGCATGTCCATGGCTACATCTTGCACCAAAAAAAATCACGCACCCACTGTTGCCTGGGGCTGCAGTAGTGCAAAAACATGATTACAAAGCATGGATCCACATGGATCCTCAGGATTTTTGCATTGAGCTACTCCAAACTCACTGTCAGATCACATGTCTGTGGCCTCAGCATGAACCACAAAAACCATACATCCACTGTTTCGTTTAGAATATTTTTTTCTTGTTTTCCTCCTCTAAAAACTACGTGCGTGTTATGGTCTGGTGCGTGTTATAGAGCGAAAAATACGGTATTTTAAAACATATCTCATCCCCATTTCCCCCCTCCCCCCAATAAAACAACCCCCTCCCCTCCCCCCCCCCCGACTTCCCTCAGTTCCACTCTGGTTTCTCTATAGATGCTATTCTCTGCCTGTTACAAAATTGTATAAATCCTTAATTTAGCTGACTGATTATTATCAATAAAAAGTTTGTGAGTGTTTATTCAAAGCCTGCCAAGGAGTCCAGTTCACTTTGTTGCTTCTTTAAATACTTTGTAAAAGGTTCCCATTCATTTTTAAAGTCACAGTTATCCTTAGTTTATCCTTAGTCTCGTAGTTTATGTGTCAGTTTTGCCAGTTCTGCATAGTCCATCAGTTTCTCTTGCCATAGTTCTTTAGTTGGGGTTTCCTCATTCTTCCATCCTTGTGGATGGATCCAATGGTCTGACCTGATGTCAGGAAGTTTCCAGACTGTAATATTCTGGAAAATGCTCAAGAATGGAACACCACATACTGTATGTTCTGTTAGTGGAATAATTGCCTTTTTATGAAAATAAACGCATGCTTTCTGCTTTGGTTCTTTGGCCCCTACTGGTTTGCACAGACAATAAATGAGGGGTAGGCAACCTAAGGCCCATGGGCCACAAGCGGCCCACGGGGGTTGTTTAACTGGCCCACTAGCTGCCCCCGAACCGAACAGATTGCTTGGTGAGTCCCCGCACGCTGCGTTAAACTGGTGCAGCGCGGTGCAGGGACTCTTTTCCGTGGCGCCGGAAATCGTGCCTGTGCATGCACAGACAGCGGAAATCATGTCTGCGCAGACGCCGGAAGTCGCTGGCGCGCACAGTCCGGCCCACAGAGGGATCTCCACTGGAGTGAACCAACCCAGGCGAGGTAAACCTTGCCAACCCCTGCAATAAATTGTTCTTATTTCTGTGTTTATACGTAAAACATCTGCTAAAACTTGGTTGCTGAGACTTGCAGGTGGGGAGAGCTCAGTGCTACTTGCAGGCTTCCCATAGACAAACAGATGTGATAGTAATTTATTATTTGTACCCTGCCCATCTGGCTGGGTTTCCCCAGCCACTGTGGGCGGCTTCCAACAAAGATTAAAAATACATTAAAATGTCACACATTAAAAACTTCCCTGTCCACTGTAAGAACAAGGATGCTGGGCTAAATGGACCTTTGGCCTGGTCCATCTGCCGAGCTCTGCTCCAAGGGAGAGTGAATGGAGTTTTTCACACTTTGGTGAAAAGACTTTTTATTTTGACACCCCCAGAAGTATTGAAAGCTGGCATTGTAGGTGCATTTCCATGTCATCAGGTATCATTTTAACACAACTTTAAAGGGAACCTGTCTGAATGATCAGCACAGAGCAACAAGAAACCCCCTCTTTCCAAATAGCCCCTGGCCTTTACAAATACTAGGGTTGTATTCAACTAACTTTTACTTGGAGCAGACTCATTGAACTTAATGGCTATAAATAACTTAGGCTTGTTGATTTCAGTGGATCTATGCAGAGTAAAAGTTGGTTGAATACAATCCATGGATTGTTGTATCCTCCCAGTTTTGGATATAATGAATTACTGTCTTTACTATGAATTTCTAAAAGTAGATAATAAAACACCAACCACAGCTTTTTATTATTCTGATACATCAGACTATCAAATATTGACTTATTTGCCCTTCAGAGTTCTTTCTAAACTGGAACTTAGTTCTGTATTGCTAAATGAGCATGTATGTTTATTGATCATTTCAATTTTGTTTTCAAAAATACAAACCAAGTGGAGAATACTTACATAGAAAAGTGATATACCAGCACCGTTTTTGAAAAAGTGTGCTGCTGTTGCATTTTATAGATCGAGGCTTTTTCAGCCCACATGAAGTCAAAGCAGGCAGAACAGCAGATATGACGCTTAGCTTCTTACAGCAGGCTACAGTCTAGCCCTTCAAGCCTGCCCACCCACATTTCTCTCCAGGCAAGCAGCAGGTATTAGCTGGACAGAAGCACTTGAGGAGGGCTTCTAAGGAGCCGTGGTCTGGTGAGACTTCTGAGAGCCAAGTATAAATGGCTGAGGGGCCACATTGGCCCCTAGGCCTCAGGTTCCTCACTTTTCTCGTAGAGCTTGCATCACTACATGCATTCTTTTTCTTCTTTTTTAAAGAATTTTTTAATTAATTTTCTTTTCTATTATTTAAAAACATCTCATATCAATGACATACATATTACACATCATCACCCCTCCCTCCCGGACTTCCCTCAGCTTCCATTTCTGATTTATTGCCTCCTTATTATACCGCTGTTTTATACAATCCACTATATCATTCCTTCATCACGTTTATTGTTCTTTATCAATAAAGATGTGAATGTTTCTTTAAACATCACCACATGCATTCTCGTGCTATAGTTGCTGAACGTTTGGCATTTAAATTTAGGAGTGCTCAGACCCTGCCCAGAGGTCTTGCAGTGATTGAGCTCTTGCCCTTTCCCAACTCTCACGTTAGGTATACTGGGAAAATGGCGCTCAGATCACATCTCCTCATGACAAAGAAATCCTGAAGTGTATAGAAGAATGTGTTGAGCCGTGGAACGACTCCTGGAATGAGAATCTGGTAGAAAGCAGCCCTCTTATGCGAGATCCCTTGAAGGAAATCTGTGCAAGCTACATGGAGGACCTGAAAAGGATCTGTTACCATAGGTAAGAAATCAAAGCACAACTCCTGTAAGCATCAATTCCATATGTTAGAAGCCCTCAAAGGTGGAGGTTCAGAATTGGAAGCAGGTAAGATGCAAATTGTTTGTCTTGGGCGTAGATATTTGAACAAGAGCAGAAGAAGAGTGTGTATTTTTAAATTTTTGTTTATAAGACCACCTTTCTGGACAAAGACTACTGAAAGATGGCTACCACTGTAGAGGAAAACTTAGTTACCAAAGGTTTGACTGAATAAAAATGACATAGCCTGGTGCCTGAAAACTGAGAACAATGGAACCAGGCCACATTTCCCTGGGGAGAACATTCCACGAGTGAAGGGGCCACCACTGAAAAGGCTCATTCTCATGCGACCACCTTCTGCACCTCCCTCAGATTTTATGGTTAGTTTTGTATTTACTTTGGCTCCCCCCCCCCTTATTTGCTGTAAGCCACCCAGAGAACTTTACCAGAAAGCGCACTTGAAGTCTAGGAGAAGGGCAAAGGTAACGGCTGAGCCCACATTAGATTTGCTGGTTATCCATGTCTATCATTTTCAGTTGCAGTGTCCCATGAAAGCCTGGCTTATTCTGCAAATGCTGGACAGGTGCTGTGAGCTGTTTTTATATGAAGTCTGCTTTGGCGTCTGGGCATGTCACCATCTCATGTGATGCCACACCACCTTTTGGGAACAGCAGGTCTCCTATTAACCCATTCTGTTATTTTCTTTATAGGGAGCTGAACACAAAGAGCAGCTTGAAATTTGTTCACACGTCCTTTCATGGGGTTGGGCACGACTACGTGCAGTTGGCTTTTCAGGCGTTTGGCTTTCAGCCCCCCATTCCAGTTCCTGAACAAAAAGACCCAGATCCAGATTTCTCCACTGTAAAATGTCCGAATCCTGAAGAAGGAGAATCTGTGCTAGTAAGTTTGGCAGGCGATTTCGTCAGTGGTTCTGTATGTAAATAAGGGTGGGCGAAACCGACTGGCTGTTTTGTGTTGAGTAAAAATAATAACTTTCCTCTTCCAGGAATTGTCTTTGAGGCTTGCGGAGAAGGAAGGTGCCAGGGTGGTGGTGGCAACTGACCCTGATGCAGACAGATTAGCTGTGGCAGAACTGCAGAAGAAGTAAGTGTGTGTTTGTATGTGAGAGAGAGTTTACTCTGTGAAGGGGAAAAGACGGGCAAGTCTTGTGGGTGTTCCTTGAGATGCAGACCTCCATACTGAATAATGTTTGAATATCTAAACTTCTGTTTTAAAAATGACACCAGTAATTGTAAGTGGGGTGGTGGTAAGGTAAAGGGAGCCCTGACCATTAGGTCCAGTCGTGACCAACTCTGGGGTTGCGGCGCTCATCTTGCTTTACTGGCCAAGGGAGCCGGCGTACAGCTTCCGGGTCATGTGGCCAGCATGACTAAGCCGCTTCTGGCGAACCAGAGCAGCGCACAGAAACGCCGTTTACCTTCCTGCCGGAGCGGTACCTATTGATCTACTTGCACTTTGACATGCTTTCAAACTGCTAGGTTGGCAGGAGCTCATCCCGTTGCAGGGATTCGAACCGCTGACCTTCTGATAGGCTTTGTGGTTTAACCCACAGTGCCACTTAAAGCACATATAGCTGAAGCTCCCTGTGCTTCAGATGGCGCACAGGGATGGCGGCTAACAGATTGAGGTTGAATCCTGACAAGACAGAAGTACTGTTTTTGGGGGACAGGGGGCGGGCGGGTGTGGGGGATTCCCTGGTCCTGAATGGGGTAACTGTGCCCCTGAAGGACCAGGTGCGCAGCCTGGGAGTCATTTTGGACTCACAACTGTCCATGGAGGCACAGGTTAATTCTGTGTCCAGGGCAGCTGTCTACCAGCTCCACCTGGTACGCAGGCTAAGACCCTACCTGCCCGCAGACTGTCTTGCCAAAGTGGTGCATGCTCTAGTTATCTCCCGCTTGGACTACTGCAACGCGCTCTACATGGGGCTACCTTTGAAGGTGACCCGGAAACTGCAATTAATCCAGAATGCAGCAGCTAGACTGGTGACTGGGAGTGGCCGCCGGGACCACATAACACTGGTTCTGAGAGATCTGCATTGGCTCCCAGTACGTTTCCGAGCACAATTCAAAGTGTTGGTGCTGACCTTTAAAGCCCTAAACAGCCTCGGTCCAGTATACCTGAAGGAGCGTCTCCACCCCCATCGTTCAGCCCGGACACAGAGATCCAGCACCGAGGGCCTTCTGGCGGTTCCCTCATTGCGAGAAGTAAGGTTACAGGGAACCAGGCAGAGGGCCTTCTCGGTAGTGGCGCCTGCCCTGTGGAACGCCCTCCCAGCAGATGTCAAAGCAATAAACAACTATTTTACTTTTAAAAGTCATCTGAAGGCAGCCCTCTTTAGGGAAGTTTTTAATGTTTGATGCTGTACTGTTTTTAATATTCAGTTGGAAGCCGCCCAGAGTGGCTGGGGAAACCCAGCCAGATGGGCGAGGTATAAATAAATTATTATTATTATTATTATTATTATTATTATTATTATTATTATTATTCTCCATAAACCTTCCAACTGGAAGACTTTTCTGCCACAACTTATTCTTCTGAGTTCTCCTAGTACTCTCCCTGCCTCTCCTTCCGCCGCTAGTTCTCAGGCCACTTCCAAACAAGTCTGTGTTGAGGGATGGGTGATTCACATACCTGCAGGTTTTTTGCAGCATCCGCACATTGTTGTCGTCATCAGGATTCCTACCCATATTCCCATATCCACCTATTGGGTTGTTTTTATTTTGATTATATATTATGATTATATCATGATAATATTTTGATTATATTTTTTGTGGTTTTATATTTTGATTTTATTCTGTGAACTGTCCCGAGACCTGCGGGTATAGGGTGGTATATAAATTCAATTAAAAATAAATAAATCTCAATTTACCCATCCTGTGAAAAATCCAAAAACTTTTTTTTAAAAAATCACCTGTTGGCAAAGTCTGAATTGTTTGAAAAATTAAGCCTCAAGCTGAAAGCCCCTTGAGTGCCTTTCAAATGAATGAGTCCACAAGCCAGCCACAGTGAAATGAGTGCAGGGGAGGAGCTTCAGTCACCTGGGAAACTCTGCTTCCTGGACCATTCTGAAAATGATGGGGTGTTGTATTGGCACCCACATTTAAGAAGCCCTGCTGGTGGACAAGTCTCCTCTTCTGCACAGAAGAAACTTTTAAAGCAACTGTGTTTGTGGCTGCATTCCTCTGTGTTTTGGATTCTCCTGCGTATTCCTTTTGACCTCTGGTCCTCTCCCTCCTCTTCCTCCTCCTCCTCCTCCTCTGCCTCCTCCTGCAGTGGCCGCTGGAAGGTCTTCACTGGCAATGAGCTGGCAGCGTTGTTTGGGTGGTGGATGTTTACTTGTTGGAAGGAGAATTGTTCCAAAGATGCCGACGTCAAGAATGTTTACATGCTGGCCACCACGGTCTCCTCTAAGATCCTGAAGGCCATCGCACAAAAAGAAGGATTTCACTTTGAAGTAAGAGCTGAATGGCGTTTAGGGTTGTGGTTTGGCTGAGTAAATCCCAGCCGTCTTTGAGCAGTAGTACCTCGGGTTACGAACGTAATTCGTTCCAGAGGTCCGTTCTTAATCCGAAACCGTTCTTAACCTGAGATGCGCTTTTGCTAATGGGGCCTCCCGCTGCCGCCGCACCGCCAGTGCGCGATTTCCATTCTCATCCTGGAGCAAAGTTTGCAACCCGAAGTGTTTGTAACCCGAGATACTACTGTACAGGGTGCATCTGACCATGGTGTGGTATGGAATATTACTACATTCATTATGAGCTAAAGGAGAGAACTGAAGCTGCTCTGGGAAGGAGCTCCAGGCAGAAGGGGAAACTTTTGAGCATTTGGGGCACAATTCAGAGGTCTTTTTAAAGGACACGCAAGATATTAGAAGGAATGAAGCAGTGAGCACTCCCTCACTTATGCCTTTGACAAGTAATAAGTTATACTCAGAGGGGACCCGTTGAAATTAATGTAGAAGACTTAGAATCATAGAATCATAGAGTTGGAAGAGACCACAAGGGCCATCGAGTCCAACCCCCTGCCAAGCAGGAAACACCATCAGAGCACTCCTGACATATGGTTGTCAAGCCTCTGCTTAAAGACCTCCAAAGAAGGAGACTCCACCACACTCCTTGGCAGCAAATTCCACTGTCAAACAGCTCTTACTGTCAGGAAGTTCTTCCTAATGTTTAGGAAGACTTAAGTTAGACCCATTTATTTCAATGGGTTTACGCTGAATAAAATTTTTGAGGGGGGAGTATCAAGTTGATCCAGATGGTGTGCAGATGTACAAATTTGGGTTTGGGCAGGATCTGTCTTTTGCTTCTTGCAGGCAATTTACCTAGCTCTGGTCAGCTTCAATGTGATATATAATGAATTTATAGAGTGCAATGTGACTAGATTGCAAGGGCTGAGATAATTAAAGCTGTAGAGAGAGCACTGACTCCTTTTCATTATTGCAACTCTTACTGCCCTCTAGTGCCCCTTCTGGAGCACAGCTGTTGTGGCGTCTTTCTGAGAAAATCTGTTTTGTTTGTTAGGCCTTTCAAGCCTTCAGTTTCTGATTTGCAGCACTGTCCTTGTGTGCAGTTTAAACAGGGCAGACTATTATTCTAATGGTCAAAAGAAATTGTTTAGTTATGGTAGACTTTTGAGAAAAGGAAACTTGAGTCACGTCTTCCAGGACCGCTGATCTTGGGCCAGAGGGCTGTTTTTAATTTGGGTACCATTCTACAATGTGCTGGCATATAAGAAAGAACCCTTTTTTGCCCATTTAGAGAGCAGAGGCAGTACACCTGGTTGGCTAGGGAGTTCAGGGATGCTCCCTTGGGAGCCATGCTTAGGACTCTCTTCTGAGTCACCTTTTCCCAATCTTGGGTGACCCAGCTGCAATTCTAAGCCCACTCAGGGCTGCATACTTAAAAGAAAGTTGCTCTCAGAAGGCCTCCTAGAATGAGCAGCTTGGTGAATTTGCGTGCAGTTGGCATGTTCCATGAGAACGATCTGTATTAAGTGAAGGCACCTTCCTGTCTTTCAGGATACACTCCCTGGCTTCAAATCGATTGGCAGCAGAGTTAAAAACCTCCTGGACAGCGGCAAAGAAGTCCTTTTTGCCTTTGAAGAGTCCATTGGTAAGCACAGCAAGGGTTGGGGGCTATGCCAGGCAGAAGTAGGGGCCAGAACCAGAGCCCAGTCCTAGAATCTGGCCTCTCCCTTCAGGCTGTTGTTTCCCATCACTCCACTGCATGGTCTAACTCTCAAACTCTTTGTGTTTGGTTCTAGCATCATATAACCTTCTGAATAGATCCCTTGAATGCAGAGTGAATGATCACTTACCGCTTTGCCTCCACTTTGATGTAAATAGGGACCTATTCTGTAACGACAAACTTGAACCCCCAGGCCTACCAACGTGAGCTGAGATTTCTGCGTATTAGATGCTCGGATGAGCTGGCTAAGGAAATTTCTAGGAATCTACTCTTTGTGTTTGGTTCTGTTGTACAGAAATGTTAAGATGGTGGATTTAAGGCGACATGTGGATAAAATGAAACAAAATGCTGTTTTGCAAATTTTTGTTTTCCAGGCTTCATGTGTGGCACTTCCGTGCTGGACAAAGATGGCGTCAGCGCAGCTGTGGTGATCGCAGAAATGGCTGCTTATCTAGATACCAAGAGCCAAATGCTGGCATCCCAACTAACAGAAATATATAAAATGTAAGTTCTGTGCGTCATCATCGCTATTCTGATTTATTACCCGCCCTTCGCCTGAAGTCCCGGGCAGGTTACAACATTAAATCACAATGCCGAAGACAGTTAAAGCAACTTTCCATCACGGAAATTACTCATGGAGCTGGTTGCATCAATTCCAGCTGGTGAAAAATAAGTTTAGTCATTACTAGATCTGTAACTTAAAGCTTGATCTTGCTTTTCTCCTCCCCCACGTTGTTTCCTTGTGTGTTGTGCCTTTTTAGATTATAAGTGTGAGGTAGGGAGTGTCTTCTGGTACTGATTTTTGTAAGCCTTTCTGGGAGCCTTTTTGGCCAAAGGGTGACGTTAAAATGCTTTCAGTAAATAAATCTGAATGGAAAAGAGTAGGAATTGTCTTTCCTGTGTTTTTGCCTGTGAGATAACTCAGAAATGTTGGAAGTGGCTGAAGGGGTAGCATTCGAAAAAGAACTTCTGGTGGGGCCTAACTTTATCCCTTTTCTGTGCCACCATTTGTAGAGACATCATAGATACATTTAGTGATAAGGAGGTTTGTGCTTAGCTTTCCTTTCTTTTCCAGTGACTGAATTTAGAGATCTAGATTACCGTGGCTGACTATATATTGTTTTTGTGTAGGTATGGCTACCACATTTCAAAAACCTCGTATTTCCTGTGTTATGATCCTCCTACTATCAAAAGGATATTTGAAAGACTCCGAAACTTTACATCGCCTAATTCTTACCCAACAGTTTGTGGCACTTTCAGTATATTGGACATCCGGGATGTGACCACTGGGTATGACAGCAGCCAGCCAAATAAGAAGTCGGTGAGTTGTGCGACTCTTGTTAGGAAGCTGTTGCAGATCATTCTCATAATAGCTTTAATCTGAACCCTTTTGCTTGCAACCCTTTGCAGAGTTTTCAAGTAACAGAGGTGTTGCTTGGAGGAAATCGGTAATTACGGTAGATTGTAGGCTTGGATGTTGAGAAGGAGAGGCGAGTACGTCATTTCAGTCTAGGCCAGTGTTTCCTAACCTTGGGGCTGCAGCTCTTTATGGACTACGACTCCCATCATCCCTAGCTAGCAAGACCAGTGTTAAGGGATGATGGGAATTGTAGTCCGAAAACAGTTGGAGACCCAAGTTGGGGACACACTGGCCTAGGTCCTGTCAGGCTGACCACCTCTCAGCAGGTGGGTTGCCACCTTAAAGGAGGAAACCTATAAAAGATCATATTGACATGCAGATACTTATGATGGTTCACATAAACTTCAGCTGCCTTATGTGTTGGGTTGTAGTTGAGCACAGTGCAGAGTTTTGTGTGCTTCGATCGCAAGCCTGCGTGTTAAAATTACATCCACATCCCATGTTCCCTCAACGAAAAGTAAACTCCGGTCAGGACTGAGTCTGGTTCAAAGATGAAGGTAAAGGTAAAGGTACCCCTGCCCGTACGGGCCAGTCTTGACAGACTCTGGGGTTGTGCACCCATCTCACTTAAGAGGCCAGGGGCCAGCGCTGTCCGGAGACACTTCCGGGTCACGTGGCCAGCGTGACAAAGCTGCATCTGGCGAGCCAGCGCAGCACACGGAAACGCCGTTTACCTTCCCGCCAGTAAGCGGTCCCTATTTATCTACTTGCACCTGGGGGTGCTTTCGAACTGCTAGGTTGGCAGGCGCTGGGACCGAGCAACGGGAGCGCACCCCGCCGCGGGGATTCGAACCGCCGACCTTTCGATCGGCAAGCCCTAGGCGCTGAGGCTTTTACCCACAGCGCCACCCGCGTCCCAGTTATTCAAAGATACCTGACACCAAATTCTCAGAGCAGAATATGAAATTGTTAGCCTATATACAGAACAGCCTTCCCCAACCTGGTGCCCCCTAGATGATTTCAGCTACAACTTCCATGAGCCTCAGCCAATAGCCGATGCACTTTGAAGCATCTGGAGGGCACAAGGTTGCAAATGTTAATGTAAAACAGGCTAACTGGATTCAAAATCCTTTAAGAGGACTCTTCTTGCAGTGTTCAAATAATTTTTTCCTCCTGCCAGAACTGGCTGAGGAATTTACCATTCCTAACTTAAGAATCAAAGGAACCTCTCTATAAATAAACAGTAGTTGATGAATGCTGTTATATATACTTTGAACGAGGTCTAATTAGTTCATTGATGGGTTCATTTGCACAATTCTGTAACTTAAAATCTCAGAACAGCAACGAACATGTGCCAGATTTATTTGTACCATGCCATCAGTGCTTTAGAGAGTAAATTCAGGTCTACAGATACTATGACTATCACCATCATAATGCAGTGTTTTTAGTCTTTGGGTTGAAACTTGTCCACAAAACACTTAACTGGGAGCACTTGGTATTTAATTAGTGGGTGGGGAGAGGCTGCAGGAACCCCTACATCAATTCCACAATGATTTTTCTCCTGATATTCTGCTGCTCTTGTTGTTGTCGCTGCAGGTACTGCCTGTGAGTAAAAACAGTCAGATGATCACCTTCACCTTTCAGAATGGCTGTGTCGCCACCCTTCGGACAAGTGGAACTGAACCAAAGATAAAATATTATGCAGAGATGTGCGCACCACCGGAACAGAGGTGGGGAATTCTGTTTGTGCCATCACTCCCATGGGTTAGGTTTTTATGCCTGCAAGTGGTCCTGTGAACAATCTTGCCTGAACCAAGCACTTAGAGAGCAGGAGGTGTCTCTTTGTGGCTTGATCTGGACACATCGTTGCTGCCGAACGGCCAAGCTGCAGGGCAGCTAGTAGGGATTTTCATTTCCTTTTTCTTCTTTTATCCCACGCTTCCTCAAAGGAACTCAGGGCAACGTGCGTGGTCTCTTCTCTTCTCCCCCCCCCCCAGTATCCTCACAACAACCCAGTGAGGCGGATTAAACTGAGGGAGAGAATGACTGGCCCAAGGTCACGTAGTGAAATTCATGGCTCTGGTATTTCTGTAATAATAATAATAATTTATTATTTGTACCCCACCCATCTGGCTGGGTTTCCCTAGCCACTCTGGGCGGCTTCCATAGAAACCAAAAAACACTAAAATATCATACATTAAAAACTTCCCTGAACAGGGCTGCCTTAAGATGTCTTCTGAATGTCAGGTAGTTGTTTATCGTTTCGACATCTGATGGGAGGGCGTTCCACAGGGCGGGCGCCACTGCCGAGAAGGCCCTCTGCCTGGTTCCCTGTAGCTTTGCTTCTCGCAATGAGGGAACTGCCAGAAGGCCCTCAGCGCTGGACCTCAGCGTCCGGGCAGAACGATGGGGGTGGAGACACTCCTTCACGTTTACTGGGCCGAGTCTAAGACCATCATCGCAGTGGTTCCTTTCTCACTGACTACTCTCTCACATCTTGTAGCTGACGCAATAGTTGTTTGCCAGCTGAGACTCTGTCTCTCCTATTCAGCCCACCACTCATGGCCTATAAGACATGTGCCTGAACTGACACTTTTTTTGCTGAAGCTAGTGGAAATGTACAAGCAGGAGAGACCCTTTGCCATTGGAGGCAGGCTGTGCCGTTGCCTTCCTAACTTCTCACTTGATCTCTGCAAGCCACTTATCTCTCCAGCCAGGCAGAGCATGCATGGTCTTCTGAAAGCTAGAGCATGAAACTCTTAATCTCAGAGTTGTGGATTGGGCAAAAAGATTTCTGCATTGCAGGGCTTTGGACTAGATGACCCTAGTCCCTTCCAACTCTATAGTTCTGTGATTCTATGACAGCAGAGTAGCTTTGGCATGAAGAAAATGAATGGAAGTCTGATAGAACGTTTCTTTTTAGAATGTGAGTTGGCATTTTGGATTGTGGAGGGGTATCTTAATAACCTCTGACTCCTCTTCCCTTTTAGCGACACGGTCTTCCTGGAAGAGGATCTACAGAACCTCATTGATGCCCTGATTGAGAATTTTCTGGAGCCTAGTAAGAATGGACTGATCTGGCGTTCGGTGTAGCCTTCCTCCTGCTGCTGCTGCCATTGGCTGTGATAGCAGTCACTCCATGCACTGCGTAATGTGGAACAAAGGAACCAAGATGATAACTCCTGTTTGCATTTATATATATACTATATATATATATTTGCTATATATGAATGCCTCTGTGTGTGTGTGTGTTTTATATATAGATATATATGTTCCTTAGCCAGCATATTTATATGGAAGCAGTATCATTTTGTCAGCTTTCTTTCCAAAATGAGAAGCAGATTACCAGACAGCTTTGGGCTCCCACATGGATCCATCAAGCCAAAAGGAAAGGGCTGAGCAGTTTCTGGCAAATTTGCCAGGAGTGATTGGTGAAAGCGACTTCCTCTACCGCCGCACCTCAAAAACGAAATAAATGCAACCCTGGAGGCTTTCCTGGCTGCCGCCTTGTAGTAAACCAGTGTTGGGTATCTGAAGTCTTCAACTTGCTCAGTCCCTTGGCAGCTGGCCTGGATGATCATATCGGGCTGGCAGAATGGCCCTGCTTCCTTGTAGCTGTTTTGAGTGTAGGTATCTTTACTGTACTGTTGAGTCTTACCTTTTTTAAAAAAATCAGTCTGTTCAGTAGAATTCAGTACTTCGGGTTTTCTAGTGCAGAAGTTGTTTAGAAGTCATAAAGGTTCCAGCTCTTTAAATCTCTTCTTTTGAAAGGTGCTCTTTGTGCATTGTATTCTTATCTGTCTGTGTATTTGCTGAAGTTTACTCGACAGTTAAGCAGTAGTGGCAAGCTATATCATATGAGGTGTAGCTATCTAGCCCTGGGGCCAAAGCAGGTATGATGGACCACCTCATTCCTCTTTTGGCCCTCGGACTGCCTACTGGGCTTCTTGGAAGTTAGGAAGCAAGACAGAATGCAGACCTCTTGGCTCAAGGGGATACAAAATTGATCATTGCTGTGCCTGCTTTGCCTTCACCTGCCACCATTAGAAATCCTTCTAGTCTAGACATACCAGCTTTGCCCCTGCCACTATTTTAAAGTCGCAGTATCTTTAAAATAAACAACCTACATCAAATAAAGCAATATTCAATAATCCATCCAAATCTAAGAGTAAACAGTAAAGCATCAGCGAATAATAACTAAGCAGTTTGCACCTATCAGTTACAACAAAGAATTACTAATCTATAATCAATAAAGATAACACCAAATCGCAATGCATAAAATACCACAAAACCTACAAAACCATGTAAAAGGGTCAAATGGAGAAACTGTCACACACAACTAATAATTATTATTTTTTAAAATATCCCTGAACGCCTCTCTTCCCAGCTGGTTCTGCTGTTCTCAAAGTCATGGAAAGGCTCCCAGAGAGGGCTGGAGGGTGGGGCAAGACTTTTCCAAATGTTCCTTCCAAAACTGGCGAGGGCAAGGCCGAGCTTCTGGCTAGATTAAAAGCCCTTCTTGTGTTTCTTGATGTGAGAAAGTAGAGGTATACTGCCGGGGCCGCAACATATCTCTCATTGTCTGCAATTATATAATTGGGGGACCTCAAGCAGTCCTGTTGTCTCTCTGTATCCATGATTCTTTGCCTGACCACAGATCTTGCTTAACCCAGGCCCAAATGGAGCATTTGGTCATTGGAGCCTCCAAGCTGCAATGCGAAATGGTACAGCCCAGACACAGCTTTGCCACCTCAGAACTAGACATATTGCCACTTGGTTAAATTGATCAAGTATATATTTGAAAGAGGGAGAAGTCCCATCCGTTTCTCCATCTGGCACTACCAAAGTTTCCAAGCAGATTTTTTCTTCTTCTTCCAAACCCGGTAGCTTCTTTCTTCTGAGTTGACGGAAAAGCTGAGTTTCGGTAGCCCAGCTGATATAGCTTTGCCACTGTTGCTTGACTTTGTCCTCCTCTTTCTCCTTACGCCCTTTGTGAGTTGGATCTGATAAGGTGGTGCAGGTGACTTCTGTCCTGATGACCCAGCTTTAGGCCACAGGGACAAGAAACTCCATTTCTTGTACATCTGGGTTTGGGGTTTGGGGGGAAAGAGGGGGATTGATGCCAACTGAAGCTTTTGCTCTGTGGCATAACAAAGTACCTCCATGGTATCTGAATGTATGTGGACAGCAGGAACTTGCTTGTATTGCACGAGGCTTTGGGGGCAAAATCCACCAGGAACTCGTCCCGTGCGTATTCCTGTTGTGTTTTGCCATTGATTTACATGCAATATTTATTTATTATTTTTATTATTTAATGCTTAAATGCCTTCCAGGTTGTTCGTATATATCTGAGTGAAATGTATTGAATGCCAAAAAACCTTCCTTTTTATTTTATTTTTTACTCTTTGTTTTCTTTTTCATTTACTGTATATTTGAAAGTGCTGCAGCGTAGCGAGGAGAAATTACGAGGGGGCAATTAAAGCGACAGAGCTGCCCCAACCTACGTGCCAGAAGGCATCCAAAGACAGTGGGAGCAAATGTTTGCCTCATGGGAGTTTTGTCATCCTTTAAGAATCCAATTCCCATCTCGTTAAAGTGTTGCTGTTTGGAACAGAGAGAGCAGAATCCAAGGCCTTAAGAGGCTCTTTCCGAATCCTTTGCTGATTTGGGGGGGAAAGAACCCTCTTTCTCTGGTTTAGTTTGAACAAACATAAGTCATGGGAGAACAAAGCAACATGTTTATTGACAAGTTTTCTACTTGTAGAGAGGATAGCAGAGGTGGCAGCCTAGGTCCTCCCTATTCACATGATGGGGTGAGTAGCTTAGGGATCACTATCGGATTGATTGTGTCCTGGGACAAGAGTTTAAGAGAGAGGGGGGCATATATTCCCTACCCCCAAATGTATGGGAAAGAGGGCTATGGCTCCAGTTTTGTTTAGTGTCCTGAGAAAGCTGACTTGTTAAGGATTTGATTATTTCTGCTGGAACCGCTGCTATCGGTGGTTTTTGTTTTTCCCCCCAATTGTTCACAAAGCTTGAAAATCCATCCTATTCCATTGGGGGAAGTTTCTTTTTCTTCTTTTCCCTGCTTTTCTTAACTGTGAAAGATCACCTCCTCCTCTTACCTCACCAATGAGCAACATGGAGGTCCTTTGGCCTTCTGCTCCCACCCTCCTTCCCTGTGGGGTTTCTCTTGACTGATGCCAGGAACATTTATAATGTGGCATGACAGGCAAAAGTATTTGAAACCACTTCAGAAACACACTGTGGTTTGTTTAAGATGCCTCTTCCCTTCTAAGATGTTGGTGTGGAGCGATATCACCAGGTTGTTGTATGATGATTTGATAAGGTGGGGGGTGGTTTGTTGTTTTGCTCTTTCAAATCTTGAAATGATTTGCTGAAAGCACTTTCGTCTCCTGAAATTCTGTAGCATGGTCTCTGTGCATGTCTCCTCAGAAGTAAATCCCAGTGAATACAGTGGGACTTACTCCAAGCTAAAAGAGTATAGGTTTGCAGCTTAAAATGCAGGCTTTGAAAAGCAACACATGAAGTTTGCTAGTTGAGAATATTTATAATTCATTTTGACTGCTTGGTTTACTTGAGTATGCTTTTGAGAAAACCTCCCCTTTCCTACCCAATAAGAAAACGTCTTAAAGGTCTTCATCGTCTTAATCGTCTGTTATGACAATAAATGGCAACCACTGTTTTGGGAATAGGTGAGGGAGAGAACAGACTTTCCCTTGCAATATCAACCTCAAAGGAAGAGCCCAAAATCTGGTCTCATTTTTATTATGGAGAAGACTCCCTTTCTGGTGCAGCCTTGCACTTGATGAATCACACCCCATAAAGAAGAAGCCCCGCACATGCAAGCAAGATTTTTTCCATTATCAGCAGAGTCCAGTGCTATAGTGGGCTCTGTATACTTGGAGCTCCGAATCGCACTCAGTAAGTTTTTAAGTCCTCATGCCAACAGAGTGTGTTGAAATAACCTTTCGAAACTGGCAGGGCACATCCAGTCCCCTGCCTCAGTTTCTTCCAGCTCCTGCCACCCCCTGTGCCAGGTTTACAAGTCTCCTGCATGTCTTTCAGCCTTGACTGCTGCCTGAGCAGCTGTGCTTTGCGCTGAGAGGGAGCCCAGCAACATCTCGGGGAGCTGAACTCTCCTAGGCCAAATAGAGAGAATCACTGCAATAATTGGTCAAGCGGAGATGAGTCTCTTTGACTGACACGTTGTTGGTTCTGGTGAATGGAGCTTCGTAGCCCACCTGTGCCTCACTGCATCCAATTTCATCTCACTTAAGGATGCTTTCAGGGCATGGGGAGTCATGCTCTGCAATGTGCGCTTGCGCAAACAAGCACTGGAGCTTGTGTAGAACTTAAGGCCATAAAGCATTCTGTTGATCAGTGTGAAGATAATTCAGTTTTTTGCAGGCGGGGCATGACCATTCATAGTCCATAGATGTTTTACTCAAAGCAAGACCTTCCTTCATAATTTTTGTTCAGTGTGTACTGAGACTTTCAGAAATGTGTACCGCTTCTTCTGGGCTTTTTATTGCAGACAGCCCAAGTGCAGCAGGAATGCCAACTGAGATGAGACTCGGTTGGAATACTTGTTTGGCTGCCCCAACCCAGCCACATGCCAAGCTATAATGTGGCACCACCCTCTTCCTCTTTTCTCAAAGCTCCAAACTGTTGAGAGGCTTCAAGAATATATATATATATAGAGAGAGAGAGAGTGCGTGTTTTGCCCTTTATTGGAAATACACATCTTATGTGCCATAGTGAGAGACCTTGTGTGTTCCCTCTGGGACCTTGCAGCGTTATCTGCCACTCAAAAGCTGGAATGGTAGGAGTTGAGGGTGTGATTCTTACAACTGTTAAGATTCCATGTCTCTTCTTTTTGTTTTGTTCTGAAAGATGCGCATGTCCTAAGTTTACATAGGTGTACCCTTCCCACAAGACAGGGTGTGTGTAGTACAAAACACGGAGTACAAAAAGCAAAGCAAGGCTTCGCCCCTTACTGTGCCTGCCTTCGTTTGGTAGCCCCCTTAGCTTGGAAGGAGGTGATGCACTTAGCACCTGCCCAGCCCAACCTCCAGCTTCCTTTTTATGTATCCTACTTGACTTCATTTTCAGGACTGTTGCTTTAACCGGGGTAGTCACCATCTTGGACTGCCCTTCAACTGAATCTAAAGAGTGGTACCAGGCAAGCTTTTCATTATCCTTCTTTCATTTCAGATGTGCTTTTCTGCCTAAGAGACAATGGGTGTATTATCAATATGGACTGAAAATTTGCACTTTGATTCTGTTGGAAGTATTTTTTTGTGTCTGGATTATGAAGTGGGTTTAGTTGAATAAAGTGTTAAGTTAATAAAACGTTCTCCTTCTAGAAGTGTTCTTCTGTGTCTTTGTTTCTCCAGCTTTTGAAAAGGACTGCGGGGGGATTCTTGGTGACCAGATAATTTCCTGGGCTCTCTGGACGGAGACTCAAACCCTTGTTTGTTTCTAATTAAAACCAAATTGTGAGGCAGATGAATTTTGTCTTCTGTGCTCTGTGTGTGGGGTTGCAGTCTAGATGCAGCCTTGCTTGTGGCTCCCTGATGGACCCAGGGAGGCAACAGGGCAGCCAGGGTTATATAAGTCTATCTCATATATTAGTTTCACCTTTTAAGTTGAATTATTAAAATAAATGAACTTTTCCACGATATTCTAATTTTCCGAGTTTCACCTGTATTATGTTCTGAAGAGGAAAGAAAAATCTGGGTCAGATGACACCACAAAACCCACCTTGGATGGCTTCAAGAGAGCACAGAAGCAGCCCCAAGCCAGGACGGATGGGCCTCCCCCTGGTTTGGACCCAATCCCTTGCCCCAGAGGACCTCCCTGGGCCCCACAGCCTCCTGGGCAGAGGTGGAAGGGCAGCATCAGGAAAGGGGGCAGGAAAGCCTCTGGCCTCATCATGCTACCCAGGGACACATACTGCATCATCTGTGTTGAAAGTTGTTTGGGGGTGTGCTCTCGGGAGTGATGGAAGCAACCAAAGAAATGAATACAGGAAGGAGAGCTACTTATTCTGAGGTAGGGGAATCTCTGCGCAAAGGCCAGCAGTTCAGAAATGTTGATGGCCGGTACTTTCCCCAAGGGCGTAGCCTTTGAAGGTGCTGCGGGAGGAAAGAGCATCTCAGAGTCAGGGGCCAGTCTGGGCCAAAGTGGCCCCCACTTCCCCACCAGAGTCCCTGGCACTCCTGAACCATGAAGGGCTGCAAGTTTTGGTCTTGGGCCAACCCCATCCTGCCTATGAAGCAGACAGGAACATCTTCCCGGAGCAGGGTCACCATTTGGAGTTTCCGCATTGGCCTAAAGGAAAGTCACTAAAGTTCTAGTGATTCTGCCAGTCTCTGCTTCCTGCCCCTGCGTTTGTAATATAAGGGGTCACAAGGTGGGTCTGCAATACGGGGGGTTTAGAAGTGCTGAAGTGGGACGCGGGTGGTGCTGTGGGTTAAACCACAGAGCCTAGGACTTGCCGATCAGAAGGTCGGCGGTTCGAATCCCCGTGACGGGGTGAGCTCCTGTTGCTTGGTCCCTGCTCCTGCCAACTTAGCAGTTCGAAAGCATGAAGTGCTAGTAGATAAATAGGTACTGCTCCGGCGGGAAGGTAAACGGCGTTTCCTGTGCGCTGCTCTGGTTTGCCAGAAGCGGCTTAGTCATGCTGGCTGTACGCCGGCTCCCTCGGCCAATAAAGCGAGATGAGCACCGCAACCCCAGAATCGGCCACAACTGGACCTAATGGTCATGGGTCCCTTTACTTTTACCTAAGAAGTGCTGAAAAATAAGGGTTTTTTAATAATAATAAAAATACCCCACAATCAGTTGTAACAATGGCAGATGACATATGGCATCCTAAAATCTGCATTTAGTTCGACAAGAGGGAAACATATTTCCAAAACAATTACAGGGCAGGATTAATATAGGATCCAAGATCCCTCATTTGCACAGGCACCAGAACTGCTGTTTCCGGGAGAAAACTCTTAATACAGTGGTACCTCAGGCTACAGATGCTTCAGGTTACAGACTCCGCTAACCCAGAAATAGTACCTCAGGTTAAGAACTTTGCTTCAGGATGAGAACAGAAATCGTGCTCAGGAAGCAGGAGGCCCCATTAGCTAAAGTGGTGCTTCAGGTTAAGAACAGTTTCAGGTTAAGAACGGACCTCCGGAACAAAGTAAGTACTTAACCAGAGGTACCACTGCAAAAGAAAGGTCGCGGATCAAGACAAAGAAAGCCCCACCCCCGGATGCCTGGCCACGTCCTTCATCCTGCAAATGGAACTAAACTACGCTACACAGACTCCTTCCTTCCTGCCTCCCTGCCTCTGATGTGGAGAATAAACTCTTTCTCCACGCTTGGAAAAGGCTGCTGCTCCACTTTGGGCTGGCCTGAAGCGTCCATCGGCCGGCCGGCTTTGGAGAGGAGGGCAGGCTAAAGGGCCTGAGCACTGAGCAAGTTGGGGGGCAGCCCACAAGGGCCAATTTCTGTTTTCTCCCCCCCCCCAATAATTTTTATTATTTTTTCCCAAATGTCGTAAACACAATAATAATATTATTCTCCTTTCAATCTATATCTTATCCGAATTAACTTCCCTCCACCCCTCTTCCGGCTTCTCCACATTGCTCTTACTTAAGCGTGATTACTATATATACATTCTATAAATGTCTATAATTCCTTTAAAAAAAAATTGTATTATACTTTAGACATACATTCCTTATTACAGCATTACATCTTGTGGTCTAACCAAATGTTTACAATAAACGTTATGAGTTTTATTCCAGTCCTGTGAGTGTCTTCATTTATGTACAGTTTTCTATCTCTCTTTTTTTAAACAAAAATTTTATTAGTTTTTATAATATCAACAACAAACAAAACCACAAAACAAACAAAACATAACAAACATAAATCATAACCTTACTGAAAATAACAGTTATTTACTTTGTAAAACGACTTCCTCGTTTCCCCTTAGTTGAATTTCATTGCATATCCTTATAACGGTTTTCCAAATCCCAATTTTAATACCCTTTAAATTAAACATTAACATCTTTAAGTCTTCTCCTTCTTGTATTAGACATATTATTTTATCAGTTAACATAAATACAACCCTAAACCCATTAAGTATCTGGAAGCTATTTCCAATTATTTTAGCTTAACAAATTTAGCTAAATAATCATTAAATTTCTTCCATTCTTCATGGTGTTCCTCCTCCTTCTGGTCGCGGACTCTTCCGGTTAGATCTGCTAGCTCCATAAAATCCATCATCTTTATCTGCCATTCTTCTACTGTTGGTAATTCTTGAGTTTTCCACTTTTTAGCTAACAAAATACGAGCCGCAGTTGTGGCATACAAAAATAAATTAACATCTTTCTTGGGCAATTCCGAACCTGTTATTCCAAGAAGAAAGGCCTCTGGTTTCTTTATAAATGTATATTTCAACATTTTTTTCAGGTCTCTCCATGGTTTTAAGTTTCTGGTTTTAAGTTTTTGCAACTCATTACGAAACTTAAAACCATGGAGAGACCTGGTCTGAACAAAGACATTGGATTCTTATCTCATTATACATGACAAAGCCATTTTTCACCTTCTCACCCCTTGCTTTTTCCTGTAAGACCTACTGCAGTCGTTAAGAGTCGTCAACAGGCTCATCACAGCTATCTGCCAATCACCCATTCCCACCACCCTTCTGAGTAATACCCCTCCCCACCTTCTCACTATATAGAAGGATCTGGCAACTTCTGTTTCAGTGTATCTGAAGAAGTGTGCATGCACACGAAAGCTCATACCAAGAACTAACTTAGTTGGTCTTTAAGGTGCTACTGGAAGGAATTTTTTTTGTTTAGTGCATTTCCAACATGACTTCAAAAACGGGAGCCAAACGGGACAGGGGACTCCGTGTCCCAGAAATGGCAAAGTCCGTTGAGTAAGGGGGGGGGGCTAAAACCATTCCTGATGCCATCAGGACACTGACGCTGAGCAGCTGGAGGAGGGTGGCAGCATTGGGGGCTTCCAGAAGGAGACCCCACAGCAAGTGCTTGAAGTGCCTGTGGGAAAAGAGAGAAGGGAGTGCTGGGTTAAATTTTGCAAGTGTAATGTTATGGAAAATCTAGGTGTGAGGCTGCTCAGTCACCCAGCTCGTCGGGCAGAGCTCGCAGGTCCCTGCGGAATAAAAGAAGGAGTCCAGCGAACCGCAGCAAATAGCTGTAGACCAAAGTTTATTGCGCAATAGGTTCAAAGAGCAACCCCGAGGATGGGGTGACAAAGACTTTTAAAACTTTCCCACCATATCCCAAAATACAGTTCGTACAGCATCATTGCTACATCATCGACATGTCACAAAAGGGGAGGGGTTAACCTTGGCAAACATGTCCAGACAAGTCCTTGGTACAAGATTAGCATAAGCAGACATGGGAGGGCAAGACTCGGGGATAAGATTAGCATGGACAAATATGTCTTAAGTACCCACCACCCAAAAGTACAATAGAAGTTCCTTTTTTCATGTCTGGAGCCTGAGGCGAGTCAGGTGATGAGATCTGACTTCCTTTGGCTAACAATGAGCCCAGCAATTGTCACCTCTGGGAACTTCCTGGAGTCCTTTTTCAAGGGGAAAATAGCTTTGGAATGGAGGAAACTGGCAAAGGAGATGATTTTATATTATTTTTAAAGCTAGGTAACTTCCCTGAGCTGTCAAGTTGAAAGGATACATTCAGGCATAATATTTGTAATATTTAACTTTAAAGATGTGCCCCCCCCCCGGTAATTTCCATAACTGTGTGAAGAAGAAAGAGCTGTAATGAAGGGAAGTCAAGACAGAGGACATACCTCTCTGTCGCCATCCTTTTCTGCGCCCCCAAGAACTGCCTCCATGGTCCTGTGCAGGATCACACTTCCCATATCGCAGCTGAAATTGGGGTCTCATATTGCTGCAGAGATGAAGGGGAGAGGGTTAAACGCTGCCTCCTCCAAGTCTCCCATGCGTCGGGTTTAGGGGGAGGGAGATGAAGGTATTAATTGAAACTGAATTGTTAAAGATTTACAGGATTGAGGAGATTTAAAATAAGGAATGAAAACAAGGGAAGAAACAGCAAGAAAGGTGTTGGAGAGAAGATCAGTGTAAATGAAAACAGGAGGCTTAAGGTTTTGTTATAAATGATTTTATTCTGGATCTGAAGTGCTTTGTTGTAAAGAATGTACATTATGTGCATAAAACAATTAAACAAGAAAAAGAAATTGGGGTCTCATGATGCTGCAGAGATGAAAGGGAGAGGGTTAGACGCTGCCTCTTGAGAGTCTCCCTTGTCCCCTTCTCCTTCCAGCTTGCTCTTCCCCACCCAGAGCTCCCCCTAGAGTTCTGCCCCCCACCCTGTCCATCCCAAAGACCCCATTCACCTCAGCTGGAGGAGGGCCTCCAAGGCCAGGGCCAAGGTCAGGGTCAGGGATTGATCCCTGAAGCATTCCAAGTGCCCCAAGATGTCCTGGAAGAGAGCACAGGAGGAAAGTGTGATAGGAATTTTGAGGTCTTAGATATATGGTAATGTTCATAAGCGTACCAACCAAGCATGTACATAGATCAGCACAGGAAGACCGACCTGGAACCATTTTGACTCCTAAACTGAGCAAATGTTTCTCTGCAAGGTCAAAGTGGGAAACCTCCCCATTGTCTCTTTCCTCACAAATCCTGTCTTAAGGGCACATTTAAGATATGAATAGGGTGAGAGCCTGTGACCTGGCCCAGGAACTAAGTATTTATCATTACAAAAGACTGGCCAGGCTCCCCAGGCAATCCAGTCAAGTAACCTGCCAGACAGGTGATAAACAACGACAGGAGAAAAACAACATTGAAATTTCTATTTTAGACCGCCTTTTCTGTGATGTAGGTATGATGTATCTGAGGGGTGGTCTTAGGTTACACCCCTTCTGTGATATATGTATGATGTTTCTGGGAGTGGCCTTGACTCCAAGATGAGCAATTTAAAATGTCTATATAAGGGCGGACACACCTTGATTCTGGGTCCTCCTTTCCTGCGTGTGAGGGGAGCACCCTGTTGCAACAGTTCAATAAAGTCAGGATTGCGAGCTGCTTTGCTTCTCAATATTCTCTGGTTGGCCTCTGTTATCTTCTCCTACCAATAGGGAACCTATGTAAAGACTCTATATGGGCTCTTGGATATCCCACAAGGGAAAAGGGCAATTTTTGTTGACAACAAAAGTCAGCTCCTTTATGGAATTGGCAACCCCATGCCCTAAGCCGGCAGGGTCCTCCCCAAAGCCCCTCCCCTCCCTCCCCCACCTCTCCATGGGGGTCCCTCCCCAGAACGGCCTCTGCTGTCGGGTGCTTGGACACCTGAAGGGTGGGTGTAATCTTCGATACCTCCCTCTCCATGGAGGCGCAAATTACAGCTATAACAAAGGCAGCATTTTTCATCTCCGCCAAGCTGAGCAGTTGGCTCCTTACCTCTCTCACCCTGACCTAGCCACTGTGATCCACGTGACGGTCACCTCCATACTGGATTATTGTAACTCACTCTACGTGGGGCTGCCCTTGAGACTGACCCAGAAACGGGGTGGGGTGGGGCGCTAGGGGCACATTGGAAGATGGCCAACAATACCATCTCTCTGGCTCACACAAGGTAATTAAGAGGCTAATATGGGAGTAATTAGCCTCCTGGCTTTTCCCAGGGAGAATGGGAAAACGCTGCCTCGTCCGCGGATGCCTATAAATCACCCTTGAGTTTGAAAGAAGGAGGGGTGAGGGCACTGGACGGAAAGCCCTTGTGTGAGTTTTTGGCTCTCCCGGACGCTGCTTCTGATCGCGACCCTAGTTGCATGACTCAAGATAAACAATTGGAGAAGAGTAAATGCACATGCTTCAATCGAAAGAAAGGGAGTATTGATTGCTAATTGAATCGACCTCTGATAAGCTGAGTGACGGGTTGGATTGAACAGAAAACTACATCAAAAGAAGACTACATCAAAGAAGCACAGCTATGTCGGTATGTGAAATGGAGCGGAAAGGAGGGGAAAAACTTTTCTTTTTTTCTCTGTGTGATTTACCTAACAACCCCTCCCTAAGAAGAACCGTCGCACGACCGATAGCAAACGAGATGGAATAATAAACTGTGTGGAAATGAATTATTAACCAGAGGCTTTGTTTTGTGGAAGATCTGGAAAGGAATTGAGACAGGCTTTGTTGCAGGATTTACGGTCAAGAGGGGGAGGAAGCCACGGCTTTGCTATTATATCTGAATTCTACGTTTGTTCTGGCAAGAACTCCCCTGAAAAGACTGATGTTGGCGCAACAGGTCTGGGAAAGTTAATGAGCAGACGCTTAGACTGTATTTTACGGGAAATGCTGAAATGGCGTCTGCCGTTCGAACAGGACCTTTGGATTAATGTTAAAATCCACACAGGACTACAACAATGTTTGTTTCAACTCGCTTGTGGAGACTCTCAGAGGTTATAAAGAAAGGGGGGAAACAAAAAACGATAACAACAAGAAGATTGGAAGACAATTTGTAAAGGATAATAACAAAGAGATGGAAAGATAGAACTGTGAACATCAAAGCAGCAGAAATATGAGAGCTTTCTGAGCTTGAAGCATGGGTACCCCCAACAAAAATTTAAAATTCGGCTAAATATTTGGAGTTTATTATGTATTGGTATAATTTGGAATTAATGTGATTTGATTGGTTTGTTAATAAAAATTATTAAAAACAGAGAGACTGACCCAGAAACTCCAGCGGGTGCAGAATGCCGCGGCGAGACTCCTTACGGGGTCCTCGCTGCAAGATCACATTCACCCGGTGCTATACCAGCTGCACTGGCTCCCGGTGGAGTACAGGATCAGGTTTAAGGTGCTGGTTTTAACCTTCAAAGCCCTATACAGCCTAGGACCCTCGGACCTATGGGACCGCCTCTCCTGGTATGTCCCACAGAGGAACTTACGGTCTTCAAATAAAAACATCCTGAAGGTCCCAGGCCACAGAGAGGTTAGGCTGGCCTCAACGAGAGCCAGGGCCTTTTCGGCTGTGGCTCCGATCTGGTGGAACGCTCTGTCACAAGAGACTAGGGCCCTGCGGGACTTGACATCCTTCCGCAGGGCCTGCAAGACAGAACTGTTCCACCAGGCCTTTGGTCAGGGCACAGCCTGACTCCCTCCATTGGCAATCTTTGCAGAGCTGTGGCCCAATGGTTGCCATCGGTTTGATTTTAATTAATTTTATAATGAATGATTTTAGAGTGTTGTGTTGTACTGTTGTGCTGTTTTATTGTTGTTAGCTGCCCTGAGCCCGGCTTCGGCTGGGGAGGGCGGGATATAAATAAAATTTATTATTGTTATTATTATAGAGGTGTCTCAGGGCAGCTGCCTGGCAGCTCTGCATCACCTGGAGCAAGAGATCTTGCTCCGGCTCCAGCAAAAGTCAGGCTGTCAGTTCCTCACAACTGAGAGTCCTGGCAGTGGGGATGAGGTCTTTGGGATCCTCTCCCTCATAGCTGTCAACTTTTCCCTTTTCTTGCGAGGAATCCTATTCGGAATAAGGGAATTTTCCTTCAAAAAGGGGAAACGTTGACAGCTATTCTCTCCCTACTCTTGTTTCCTCCAATACTCACCATTGCTGGATGACGAAAGCCTGTGGCACATCTTCAGGAAGAGAAAAACAAGTAATGAATGAAATAAGAAGCAAAATAAGAAACTCAGAAAATAAGAATGCACTGATTGCCTTGCCTTGTCCTCCGTCAACTGGCACCAACTGCTCTCTCCTCCACTCGCCTCACTACTAACCCAAAATGGCAGCCTGCAAGCCTGTGGTCCTTGTCACCATGGCAACCCCCCTCACCTGGACCTGGGCCCACCTGGCTCCACCTATTGGGAGATGATCTATAATGAAATAAAAAAATGTTTTAAGATAACCTTTGTTAAAAGATCAGAAGCATTTTTATTAGGTATTTTAGGGCAGGATTTACCAAAAGATAAGGAAAATCCATTCATGTATGTGACAACAGCGGCCGGAATTTTACTAGCTCAAAGATGGAAAGGGGATGAAATACCAGAGAAAGAACACTGGCAAGAAAAGTTGATGGAATAGGCTGAAATGGCGAAGCTAACTCAAAGACTTAAAGATAAGGACAATAATGACTTTAAAAAAGATTGGGAACCTTTTAAGATGTATATACAAAAACAATGCATAAAAATGAACTCACTGGCAGGATTTGAGTGATACACTTACAATGGACAAATACAAAGAGAAAATACAATTATGAGGTAAAAATGAGAAGAAGAGACAAATGTTATAACCTTCATTTTAATATATAAGGAATACAAATTTATAAGCAAAAGAAACATAGGTGTTATAAACCAGTAAGGGAAGTTGGAGAAAGACACGGAGGGGGGGTGTTAATTGAAATTGCAAAATGTAATTTGAATGTTTGATTATGTTAAAATTTCTTTAATTAAGTTATTTTTTTTTAAAAAAAGAAAGAAAAGCAATGGCTCCTCTTACTTAAGGGCCCCACAGACCTCATGGGGCACCAGAGCAGATTCCCTTGTTGCTTTTTTGAATCAACCAGCAATGGGGGTTGCATTTCCTTATTTCCAGGAGGACTGTTGCTAAAGCACATGATATGCTCTTCACACTTAGTTATCTATTAGGAACACAGGCACAAATTATTGTGTGTGTGTTTGTATTTGCAAACTACCCCAGTCTCTGAGCGGTGAGATTCCAGGGGTCCCAGGGGCTTCCCCATCTTCGGTTTCCTTGGAACGAAAGTCAGCGGAGACTGTGTTGTCTTTATGATATCTAGTTTTATTTACTCACATACACAACCGGAGTGTAGGACGGAGGGGCTCACAGCATCAACACACAAACAGATCTTGCTTCTCTATTATATGTTTATACCCATGGGTTTCCCCAGCCACTCTGGGCGGCTTCCAACAAAATAATAAAATACAATAGTCCATCAAATATTAAAAGCTTCCCCAAACATAACAGCAACCATCCATTTTCAGTCCATTGAATTAGCGATTAAGCATTTCTGGAAAGGGAAATGGCATACTTTGTATATTAGCATAAAAAGCATGCATAAGAAAGTATTACTCATTTAATTTATTACTCATTATTACTCATTTTGGCAGGGGAAAGGTCTCCCTTGGGAGGTGGTGGACTCTCCTTCCTTGGAGGTTTCTCAGCAGAGATCGGACGGCCATCTGCCATGGATGCTTTAGCTGAGATTCCTGCATTGCTGGGGGTTGGACTAGATGACCCTGGGATCCCCTCCTATCTCTCCACTCCTGAATTCTAGGAGGAGCTTCCTTGCCTCCTGCAAAGCCCTTTTCCCTGCAAGCTCTTCCTCTGGTTTCTGGCCAAGGGAGGGAGATGCTCAGAGTCCAGCCAAGAGCCTCACCCCCAAAAGGATATCTGGGCATAGGCGTAGCCAGGGGGGCAGCTGCCCCCCTAAATGCATAAAAAATAATAAGAATCTGAGGTTCTGCCAAGCGAGAGAGGGCGGAGCTGGAGGGACTTGGCTTGGCAAGGGTTAAAGGGAAGTGAGCTGCCTTCCTAGAAAGGCCAGGAAGCAAGAGGGGGCCAGGTCCTCCAGAGCCAAGGCCCCTCCCTCCCCAGTCCTTTCCTTGCTTTGGGGTCTCTCCTGCAAGGGCTGCCTCGCTGCCCCCTCCTGGGATCTGGTGAGTCTCCTCTCTCTCCCCCCCCCGCAGGTGCAGTGGGGAGACGGGGGGGGTCCCAGGGCTGCAGCCGGGGAGGGTGCCTGGGGGGCCGGATCTGCTCATGTGGGGGGGACCCCAAGTCAGGGAGGAGAGGGTCCTGCCAGGGAGGGGCCAGGTCTGCAACGCTCTCCTTCCTGGAGGTCAGAGGATCCCTGACTCCCACGAAATCTCCCTTATTTAAGGAAAGGAGTCCCTGGGACTTTAACTCTGTGTGACATCGCTCAGCCTCATTGCACAACAGAGGAAACATGTGCAAATGGTTTTCCAAAGCTGGACGAGGAGGTGGACTAGGCCCCCCCCCAAAGAAAACCCCACATGGAGGAAGGAAGGGAAAAAAGGTGGGAGAGAAAGGCCAGGAATAAAGAGAGGGATCCCAGCCCATAGTCTGGCTGCTGCATTGCAAACCAGTTTCCCAGTCGTCTCCCAGGGCAGCTCCCCACGGAGGCCACTGCAGCAATCCCCTCGCAGCCAGAGCAGGGCATCCCAGGACATGCTCTCTGTTCCAAAGGGATTGTTGCTGGTAAAGAAGCCGGAAATGGGCGCTGCTACTCACCGAACCTGCACTGACCTTGGCATCAATGGCTGTGTGTGTGTGTTAAGCTATCTAGCGGAATAATAATAATAAATTACCTGCCTAAATTTCAAGGGAGATGTTTTTGGCCCTGCCCACTTGGCCCTCAGGGGGTTGATCACCTGGCCCTAAGAGCAAAGAAAAAGGGACCCCACCCCAGGAGTCTGTCTGAAGAGCGGCAGAGAGTCCAAGTGCAAGAAAAGGAGACCGAAGAAGGGGAGGGGGGAGCAACTCCTGAGGACCCCCGGGTGAGGACCCCACTAGACCCACAAATGACTCCCTTGTCAGTCGGTTCTGATTTCATGCATTGACTGGAAGGGCAGCAGAAACCAGGTTGATTAATCTCCCAGAAATCCCTTCAGTTGCCTCCACATTTTGGGTGGCTAGGAGGCTAGAGATTTATTTCTCCTCCTCTTCCTCCTCTTTCTTTTCAAAAAGAGATCTCATGCTCTGGGATGTGGTGCATTCCAGCCCTGGTTCCCAGCAAGACTCATCCATGCTTGCTCAGGGAAATATTTCTTTTCCTGTCCTACAAATTCTGTAACAGAACAATGTATTTGCTTTGTAGGATTTGCTAGAGCTTCTCATTTAGACGGGCAGAACTTGACAGAAGACCAAAGGGTTCCTTCCGATCTCTCAGAGGCTTCCTGAGAGCACAGATGGATGAGCAAGACTCGGCTGGCCCTGAAGCAGGAAGAGGCCATGCCAGCCAAACTGGGAGCAGTGGGGGATTCTGGGAAAACTCTGTGCAGAAGATCCATGGTAAGGTGGACACCCTCCGCTCAGAGGTGCAGAGCCAGCAGTTGAGGCAGTTCTGCTGCCAGGAGGCCAAAGGACCCCGAGAGGTTTGCAGCCGACTCTACCACCTTGACCATCAGTGGCTGAAGCCAGAAAGGCACACAAAAGCTGAGATGCTGGACCTGGTGATCTTGGAGCAGTTCCTGGCTATCCTTCCCCTGGAGATGGAGAGCTGGGTGAGGGAGTGTGGAGCGGAGACTAGTTCCCAGGCAGTGGCCCTGGCCGAAGGTTTCTTCCTGAGTCAGGCAGAGGAGAGAAAGCAGGTGAGAGAGACTTTCCTCTGGATACTCCCAAGGGGCTCCAAACAGGACAGAGAACATCCCATAATGGTCTGCTGATGGCCCATCCGTTTTATGGGAAAGCATCCATGGAATGAGATCTCGCAGTCTTTCTCACCATTCTCTGTTTTGAATCCTTGTTTCTTTTTCAGGGAAAGGATCTTTTTCCAGAAATGGACCTGGATTCCTGTGAGGCAGAGAGGTCTCCGTTGGACACCAGAGAGAGGCGACTGGGTAAGGAGGAAGGTGGTTTTTCTCCGTTTGGTCTCATTCTGTTGGTTTTCCAACTCATCTGTGAGTTGTTTTCATCTTGCTTTGGGGGGAGATAGTTGGGAACAAGGGTCCAGAGGAGGGGAGATGTATTTCTGCACCACAAACATATGAAATGGGCACAAACGTCCAAATGCTCTCAGTAGGTAAGGCTTTCTCCAAAGCCCATCTGTAGTAAGAGATGCCCTGTTTCACCTGTGAGAGAAGCCGGCACTCCTGGCGTCCTGTTTAACTTTTTTTCTCTTGCAGGTGACAGAATGATGCCGGCAAGACTTCCTGATCCGTCTTTTCATGGGGACAGAAGAGAAGCAGTGGCTGTGGAACCAGATCAGGTCAGGGGAAGCTGCCTTGTGGGACAGAGGCCAAGGGATGGAGCAATGTCATGGACTGGTTGGGCACAGAGGAGTGGTGGGAGGATGCAGCCGGGGAACCAGGAAGGGAAGATGGCTCAGAGCCGAAGGAGTGGAGGTAGAAGAAGGAGTGGAGGTAGAAGAAGGCGGTCAGAGGGAGAAGAGGGAGAAGCCTGGGAAGAGGAGGTGTCAGAAGCTGAAGGGGTAACAGGGCTTAGTGAGCTGGGAGACTCTGTGGCAGAATGCAGTGCAGAATCAGAGGCAGAAGAGGAAGGAGGCGAGTGGGAGAGGAAGGTCGAGAGGCAGAGGTGAGTCAGGATAAGGAAGAGCCACAGGTGGCTCCCTCTCCTTTTGCCAGAAGCCACCCTCCCTGCTTGTCTCTCAGAGCCAGGAGACCCTGTGCATTGCAGGAATCTCTGCTAGATCACTCAAGATAGATGGCCATCCAAAATAGGCTTATTTTATTTCTAGATTGATCACTGAATGCTCAGATTTGTTTCTAAGCAGTGAACAAATCAGAACAAATGGTGGCCTGGATTCACCTAACCAGCCCCATCGGCTACAAAAAGGGGCCTGCCCCCCATTCCTCCCCCTCTCCATATCCCCATGAACCCCTGGATTTTGGCTCTAGGGCATTGGGAGGGAACTCCCCAGAACAGCTCAGGAGGAGAGGAGAAAGTGGACCCTTCCATCAGGCAAACTGGAATGCTTGTGTAGGTAGAATGACTTGGAAAACACAAGGTGGAGTACCACCTATTTGCACAAAGACGAATACCCATAATTAAAACTTAGAATAAAATAAGCATCCAGAATTAAAATGTGCAGCAAAGTAATCCTATTGAAACAACTCCCCTGCGTGAGTGCCTGAGGGCCCTGCTCCTGCCACTCACCACCTGGCCCAGGGTGGGGCCTGAAGCCCCATAAGGACTGCTTGTGCCCAGGAGGACTCCCCTGCGTGAGTGCCTGAGGGCCCCACTTCTGGCACTCACCACCTGGCCCAGGGCGGGGCCTGACAGGCCTCATAAGGACGGTTGCTGCTGCTGCTCCTGCTGGCCAGGAGGACTCGGAGCGGCGCAATGTTCTTTTTAAAATGTTTTTTAAATTTTCTTTTTCCCTTTTGATTACTTTTTTTGTGGGGGGTAGGGTGGATGTTTGGTTGGGCTCGGGAATTTGTTTGATTTTGATTGTAATTTTTACAGTTTTTTGTTTGTATTGTTTTATTTTGGGTTCTTTCTTTTCTTTAAGGGTTTTATTTTGTTCTTAAGGGGGGGGTAAGGGCTGCCGGGGAGTGGGCCCCAGCCCACAAAATAGCTGGGGAATGTTCCACGGGGGGGGGGGGGATGCACTGGGACAACCGATCTCAGTGATCACGGGTAGGAGGAGGAGTTACGCTAAGAGCAGACCATGTCATTACAGAGGAGGCAGGTTTAGTTGTTGGAGGACTATCCCTGCCTCCAGGTCTGGTCCTGACTGGACGGATACTAGAATCAGCAAGCGATACCCACATGACCTGAAGGTGCTGCTGTGCAATGCCAGGTCAATGATTCATAAAACCACTGCCATCCATGACTTGATCATGGATGGAGGACTTGACCTGGCATGTGTAACAGAGACTTAGTTGGATGAAGCAGATGGGCCTGTCCTTGCAGTTGCTTGCCCACCAGGTTTCTCTTACACAGCAACCCAGACCTTGTGCATAGCTGTCAAGTGTCCCTTATTTGAAGGGACAGTCCCTTATTCCAGCGCCATGTCCCGCTGCTGTCCCTTATTGATAGATGTCCCTTAAATGTCCCTTAAATGATGTCCCTTAAATTTCAAAGGAAGCAGCTCCTCTCCCTCCCTCCCTTCCCGCCAGGGAGGAGGGAGGCTCCAACTGTGTTGCTTGGCTGTGTTGCTCACCCAATAAGAAGTCTAAGAACGACGGGGGGATGGAGCTTGCATGCCTTGTGTGTGGCTAGTTAATGCAAGCTGAGGGTGTTTTTGAATGCTGAACGCCATTTTGTTGCACGTGCTGCTGCAAACTTTACAGTGCAAAGCCAGGCTGCGGAGCCATTTTAAGTTGAGGCTGCATAGGCCTTGTGGTGCATGTGATTCAGATTCAATTCAGTTGAACCTCTGGTTACAAAGTTGGTTGGACAGTGTTCTCGAAGCTACCCAGCATGAGTTTGACCAGACTGCAGGAGGACAGGAAGACTGGAGTGCCTGGAACAGGTGAGGCTGCAGGTCCCTTATTTTGGCTGCTGGTCCCTTATGTTCAAGGCTGCTGGTCCCTTATTTTCAAATCTGTAAGTTGACAGCTATGGCCTTGTGGGCGGGGAGGGGGGGTTGCAGTGCCATGGTCAGATCACTTCCTGGTGCAACTGAACTTCTCCGCGACCCTTCCCCTCTGCAGGGAGGTGGGACCGATTCGGATGATCCACCCCCGCCACTTAATGGATCCAAATGGTTTCCAGAGAGTGGTAGGGGATGCTTTATCCCATGTTGATAGCCTTTCAGCTGATTCCCTGGTGGCCCGCTGGAATGTGGAGTTAACCAGGGCTATTGACTGTTTGGCTCCCAAGCGCCCTCTCCGATTGCATGGAGCCCAGACAGCCCCGTGGTTTTCCACGGATCTGAGGGAACAATCGCTGAGATGGCTAGAGCTCTGGTGGCAGATAAATCATTCTGAAGCTGACCGGACACGGGTTAGAGCTCAATGTCGAGCCTACCAAGTGGCGGTAGCAACGGCAAAGAAGACTTTCTTCACTGCCTCAATTGCATCTGCAGAAAACAGCAGCAGGAGACTTTTTCAGGTGGTTCACAATATAGCAGAACCACCTGCTACATCGGGGCCCAGTATGGGCCACATTATCTCCTGCAATGATTTTGCAAAGTTTTTTGCAGATAAAGTCGCTCAGATTCAGGAAGAGGTAGACTCCACCGTGGGAGCAGGGCCGGGGCAGGAGAGTGCTAGAGCCCTGTCTAGTCAAGTTGCGTGGGATCAATTCCAATCTGTTACCTCTGAGGATGTGGACAGGCTGCTTGGACAAGTGAAACCAACCACCTGTCTCCTTGATCCTTGCCCATCGTGGCTTATAAAAGCTAGCCGGGAAGGGCTGGACGATGGGCTTTGAGGGGTCATGAGCCTTCCCAGACCCTCTGAAAGAGGCGGTTATCAAACCACTTATTAAAAAACCATCTTTAGATGCTGCCAATATGGCTAACTATCGCCCAGTCTCAAATCTTCCATTCTTGGGCAAGGTGATTGAGCGAGTGGTTGCTGAACAACTCCAGGCACGCCTGGAAGAAGCGGACCATTTGGATCCCTTCCAGTCGGGATTCAGGCCTCATCATGGGGACTGAAGCTGCCTTGGTCGCACTGGTCGATGATCTCTGGCGGGCTAGGGACAAAGGTAAGAGCTGTTTCCTAGTTCTGCTGGCTCTCTCAGCAGCGTTTGATACCGTCGACCATAACATCCTTCTGGACCGTCTTGAGGGGCTGGGAGCTGGGGGCACTGTCATACAGTGGTTCCGCTCCTTCCTCCTGGGCCGTGTTCAGAAAGTGGTGGTGGGGGATGAGTGTTCAGACCCCTGGGCTCTCACTTGTGGGGTGCCTCAGGGTTCCGTCCTCTCCCCCATGCTTTTCAACATCTACATGCAGCCACTGGGAGAGATCATCAGGGGCTTTGGGCTGGGTGCTCATCAGTATGTGGATGATACCCAGCTATACCTCTCTTTCAAATTGGACCCAGTGAAGGCGGTGAAAGTCCTGTTTGAAAGTCCTGTTGGAGGATGGATGGCGGCTAACAGATTGAGGCTGAATCCTGACAAGACAGAAGTACTGTTTTGGGGGGACAGGAGGCGGGCAGGTGTGGGGGGACTCCCTGGTCCTGAATGGGGTAACTGTGTCCCTGAAGGACTAGGTGTGCAGCCTGGGAGTCATTCTGGACTCACAGCTGTCCATGGAGGCACAGGTCAATTGTCTGTCCAGAGCAGCTGTTTATCAGCTCCATCTGGTACGCAGGCTGAGACCCTACCTGCCGTCAGACTGTCTCACCAGAGTGGTGCATGCCCTAGTTATCTCTCGCTTGGACTACTGCAATGCGCTCTATGTGGGGCTACCTTTGAAGGTGACCCGGAAACTACAACTAATCTAAAATGCGGCAGCTAGACTGGTGACTGGGAGTGGCTGTCAAGACCATATAACACTGGTCCTGAAAGACCTGCATTGGCTCCCAGTAGGTTTCCGAGCACAAGTCAAAGTGTTGGTGCTGACCTTTAAAGCCCAAAACGGCCTCGGTCCAGTACACCTGAAGGAGCGTCTCCACCCCCATCGTTCTGCCCAGACACTGAGGTCCAGCGCCGAGGGCCTTCTGGCGGTTCCCTCACTGCGAGAAGCCAAGTTACAGGGAACCAGGCAGAGGACCTTCTTGGTAGTGGCACCCGCCCTGTGGAATGCCCTCCCACCAGATGTCAAAGAGAAAAATAACTACAGTGGTGCCTCGGAAGACAAAAAGAATCCGTTCCGCGGTTCTCTTCGTCTAGTGGTTTTTTCGTCTTGCGAAGCAACCCCATTAGCGTCTAAGCGGATTAGCGCTATTAGCGATTTAGCGGCTTAGCGGCTATTAAAGGCTTAGCGGCTAAGCTGTTAAAAGGCTATTAACGGCTTAGCGCCTTTGAAAAAGGGGGGGGAAGCGGGGAGGAAATGGCGAGACTCGCAAGACGTTTTCATCTTGCGAAGCAAGCCCATAGGGAAATTCGTCTTGCGAAGCGCCTCCGCAATGGAAAACCCTTTTGTCTTGCGGGTTTTTTATCTTGCGAGGCATTCGTCTTGCGGGGCACCACTGTACCAAACTTTTAGAAGACATCTAAAGGCAGCCCTGTTTAGGGAAGCTTTTAATGTTTAATAGATTATTGTATTTTAGTGTTTTGTTGGAAGCCGCCCAAAGTGGCTAGGGAAACCCAGCCAGATGGGCAGGGTATAAATAATAAATTATTATTATTATTATTATTATTATTATTATTAATAATAATAATAACAAGAAGGAAATAACAGAGCATTGTGTAGCAGATCATATTTCTGCTGTCTCAGAGGAGGACGTTTCCCTTTTTCTTTTAGGGTCCATTGTGCTTTGAAGATGTTGCTGTTCGTTTCACGGACGAGGAGTGGGCGTTGCTGGATCCTGACCAGAGAGCTCTGCATAAGGACGTCATGGAGGAGAATTGTGGGATATTGGCCTCTCTTGGTAAGGCTCCCTGTGGGATCGTCATATCAGCCTGGAAATTCAAAAAATACCTCTATGGGACCAACCTCATATATTCTCACAGAGCTCAACAGCGCCCCCTATAACACCTGGGAACCTAACACCCCCACAATAAAGAGTAAATTACAGTTTTTTCTGTGAACAACCTTCCTGAAATTATTCCTTTTTCTACCAGGATTGGGCTGGTCTGAACTTCCCAGGCCATCTTCAATGTCAGCTTCAGAATTGTTAGGAAAGCTAAGTAGCTTCTGGTTTTTGTTTTTGTTGCTGTCAGTCTTGGGTTGACCAAAGAGAGGACTGGCAGCGAAGCTCAGGTGCTGCCAGCCAGAGAAGAAGCAAGCCTAGGGAGAGGAGACTTAGCAGCGGAAGGCAGAGAGGAGGGGGAGATCAACTGTCATCTGAGCTCTGAACAAAGGGGAGAAGAAAAAGGGAGACAGAGTGACAGACAGCTGTGTGAGAGCTACAGGAGTGAGTCAGACGCTGGAATGCAGGAAGCATTCTCTGCCAAATTTAAAGATACTGGAAGAGAAGGTGGGGGCTTCCGTGCTGGGGAAGGGGGAGGAGCTCAGTCTGGACAACTCCATCTTGTGGGGAGGACGATGAGTAGAGGAGCTCTGTCCAAGTTTGTTGTTTTAGCAATAAATCTGAAATTATTAACAGCCAGAGTCGTCTCACGTTTGTGGGAGAGACCAAGCCATAACAAGGACTGACATTGGAGATGGAGGGGATGCCATGACTGGGCCAAACAAAATCCATCCCAGAGAAGAGCTAGGCTTATGGAATCTCAGGTAGCAGTAGCAGTGATGAAGATGATGATGATACAGTGGTACCTCGGTTTACAAAATTAAGCTTTTCCAGAACAGGTACCACTGTAGTAATAATAATAATTTTTATTTCTACCCTGCCGATAATAATAATAATCTGATTCCATATAAAAAGAACATTAACTTTAAAATGAACAACTTATACTAGTGGCCAAAATTGGGAAAAACTTTTGTGAAAAGTGTATTTCTGAGGTTTGATGGCTCATAACTTCACCTTTGTGTGGAATAATGCCATAAAATTATATAGCAATGGAAAGATATTTTAATGAAGAATGTAATGCAATGACTTTTATGAAGGAGTTTTTTTTAGAACAGCAGTCATAAAGAAAAAACGTGAAACCTTTGGTAACCATTGGTAACCTTTAGCTTTCACTACGGCCTTACAACACCTTCCCATGAAGTGAATCAACTTTTTAGTTCTGCAGTTGTAATAATGTGAAACCAAGATTGAATTATTGCCTCTATTAATTGGGCTTTATTGCTGGGTTACTTCTGACTAACAAGTTTCTTTCAAGTATTTCATTTATGTATTTGGGGGCATTTACATTCCCATTAATGACGCAAATTCTGCCCACTCCTTTTGCTGCCATACAACCCCAGATCATCACACTATCTGGGTGTTTCACGATCGGTGTAATGCAAGTAGGATGTAAATCTCTGATTCTTCTCCTTGCGTATTTCATGCCATCACTACCAAGCAAGGAGATTTGGGTCTCATCGCTCCAAATAACACTGTCCCATTGTACCGCTGTCCACTTAACATGGGTTTAATCTTTTCAACCTTTGCTTGAGAGATAACAATGGCTTTTTCCTTAGAATTCTAACATTTAGAGCAGTCCTTGCACTCAACTTCACATTGCATCTCGCCATGCCATCTTGTATACACCCAGATGACATTTTTCTGTCATGTAGGGACAGTCTCTCCATTCTTCGATCGTCACTTGCCTTTGTGCACCTCTTCCTGCCTTTACCAGTCTGATTTTGTAGTGCCTGAGTCTCCTTATACCTCTTCAAAAATATAGAAAGGCCAGCTTTGGTTATGTTTTCCCCAATCTCTCTTCAAATTTCTTCATAATTGTATCCTTGTTCACTTGATAGTACTATTTTACATCGCTTTCTGGGTGACCCGTCAACTCTTTGTGCCATTTCTATAATTTTATTATGTTTTACAACCTCACTAAATGAAAGAACACAAAAAAACACCAACCAACTTGAAAGCAATCACATAACACATTGACAAAAGTCAACCTAAGCAAGTTGTGCTTCCTTTTTCTGGTTATTTGGCTAGAATGTTTGATAGAATACGGATAATTAAACAAACTTTGTTGAACTGCATTGTTGATAAAATTATCTTTCCGTTGATATATAATTTTATAATATTACTCCCAAAGAAGTGGTGTTATGAGCTATCAAACCTCTGAAACACACTTTTTTCCAAAAGTCTTCCACAATTTTGACCACTACTGTATATTAAACAAACCAACATTCAACAACTCATCAGAATCTAATAATAAATATGTTGGTTAATGACAAACAACACAGGTAATGAACACCCTCTCAACTTCCTTCAGTTCTTCTCCATTTGTTCCTGAGGCTCTAATCCCTTTTTGTCTCCATTGCAGATTGTGATGAATCGGAAATCGAGAACAAAGGTGACCATGATAAAATCCCCAGAGAGGAGAAGCCACGTAAAAATTTGGAGTGTGGAGAAAGCTGCAGTCAGAGCTCCCATTCCACTTCCCATCAACAAAATCTCATTGGAAAGAAACTCTATCACTGCATGGAATGTGGAAAGAGCTTCAGTCACAGCTCCAATCTAATTTCCCATCAAAGAATTCATACAGGGGAGAAACCCTATCAGTGTGTGGAATGTGGAAAGAGCTTCCACCACTGCCTCCTTCAGTTCCCCTGGGAATATCCCGGTGCCAAGGACAAATTGATGATATCACCCAGGGGGGCCCGCACCTCGTCTGGACACGCTCTAATCAGCCAAGACGGGCACGGGTCGAGAGGACAGGTGGTGGGCTTTCCAGCTCGGAGGAGTCTGTCCACATCGGCTGGGGATATCCAGTCAAAGTGGTCCAATACTGGACCCGAGGACAGTCGAGGGGCCTCCAGTTCCTTTATTGTATCCAAATTGGCAGGGAGGTCATGGCGGAGCAACAAGACCTTCTCCGCAAAAAAGCTCACAAATGCCTCACAGCTGTGTGTCAAATTGTTATTTAAATTTGGCTGTCCTTCAAGGGATGTTAAAGACCTAATTATACTAAATAATTGTGCCAGGCGAGAGCTAGCGGAGGCAATGGAGGCCGAGAAGTAGGACTTCTTAGCGGCCTTCACTCACATCTCGTAGGTTTTCATAAAAACCCTATAAGATGTTCTTGAGGCTCCGTCACGGGCACCCCGCCATACTCGCTCTAGCCATCTGAGGTCCCGCTTCATTTTCCGAAGCTCCTCGGTAAACCAGGGAGCCCGGTTTCTGCGGGGTCGCAGAGGGCGCCTAGGTGCGATCTCATTGATGGCTGCTAGGAGCTGGATATTCCAGCCCTCAACAAGCTCAGTCAATGAGTCGCCAGGGGGAGCAAGGTCCCGCAAGGCCTGACGGAATCTATCAGGGTCCATCAGCCTCTGCGGGCGAGCCCAAATCGGCTCGCCACCTAAGCAGGGTGGGGGTGGAAAATCAATCCCTGGCTTTCAGAGCGTAGTGATCAGACCATGGCACCTTCATCGAAGGAGACATGACCACATCTGTACCGACGCCAAAGATCAAATCCAGCGTGTGGCCTGCTTGATGTGTGGGGGCCTGAAACAAACTGGGAGAGCCCTAGTGTTGCCATGGAAGACACCAGGTCCAGAGCCTGTGAGGAGGGAGTGGCATCAGCATGGATGTTGAAGTCCCCCAATACCAATAGGTTAGGGAACTCCAAGGCAATGGGTACATCACTGGCAGGATTTTTATTACTGGGAGTAGATCTCAGTCGCTTGGAAGTTTTGGCATTGTGGCTAGTTCAAGGTACCAGCACAACTTTAATTGCCACTCATCTTTTGTTGATATTAATTTTCCAGTATTTTGCTATTAACATCCTACCCGTTGTGGTTGTGTAAAGAAACACTCTTTTATTTTCATTTGGGATGCTTATCGTTAGAATGTTAAATAGGAAAGCTTTGGTTTTCTTTAAAATAAATAGCATTTATTTTATTTTATTTTCCCTTTGGGGACATGTTCACATGTGGAATAAGGCTCCCTCGTTTTGTCTGCATCTCCAATGCTTACTGCTGATATTTATTCATTTTGACCAATTTGTTTGTTTGTTTTTAAATAATTTTTATTGAATGATTTTATGTTACAAAAAACATTACAACCATACTACCACAAAATATAATTGAGAAATAAAAATTACATACATCAATATTTTGTTTGTTATTTGTTATTTACTGTCTTATTTCCTCCCAAACATTCCATACAAAACACACTCCCGCAGAAACACAAAAAATACAATAAAATAAATAGTGATAATAATGAAAATAAATATTTTCCCCCTTTTATCTTACAAAATCTTTTCTTCAGTTTTGACTTCCTATCAAGTCCCCAGAAGAAAAGTCCTAAAGCCGTTTTGACTCTTTCACTCACCTCAAATATTTCTCTACAAGGTCAAAGGAAATTTAGAAACCTCCCCATTGTCTCTGTCCTCACAAATCCTGCCTTAAGGGCACATTTAAGGTGTGAATAGGGTGAGCCTGTGACCAGGCTCAGGAATGAAGTATTATCATTACAAAAGAATGGCCAGCCTCCCCAGGTAATCTAGTCAAGCGACCATTTACAGGTAACCTGGCAAACAAGGTAAAAACAACGCACTTCCACTGCGACCAGTGCTTTTCCCGTCATCTAGCAGAGTTTGCGAACAGCGATGTGGCCTGTGTGAAGAAAGCTCAGGCATGCAGAAAAAGACTCCGTACGCAGCTTCTTTCTAATCTAAGAAGCTTTATTGTACAGCGGCAAAATAAATCAGCAGTCCAGGGAGAAAGAGCTGACATGCTGTCTCTCCCCTTCAAAGCAAAACAGAAAGTAAAGTATT